TTGCTCTGAGTGAAGGGAGCTGTGTGTGTGAAACCTCTGGTGCTCACCATTTCATACTGAAGATAAAAAATACATGTGTGGTAAAATTGTTGATGAGTTTGTCCTATATATACCTTTGCTGGTCTTTACACACACACACACATAATTAAATATGGAATCTATAACAACATAATATACATTTACAGTGACTAACAAACTTTTATTTTTCTTTTATAAAAGCCCAGAATGTATTGGAAATATGAGAATGGTTTAGATAGAAAAGAAATACTTCTGATAAATCTCAACTGAGCTTAAAAGATTTTGTTGAAATACCAGTTATTAAAATCCTGTCTAGGATTACTGAGGGATGACTTGTATTGATCTCTGTTAGAGGTAAAGGCTTTTTACATGTCTGTTGGGTCAAATGTACTGTGACAATTTCACTATTATGAATTCTATGCAACTGCACTTTGACGTGAGACGTGATTCAGTATCGTTTTGAATTATCTTCAGTCAACACAAATTTAGTGTAATTATAATGCTCATTTCCTGTAAAATAGCAGATATCTGAATAATGGACCAGAATTTCCATTAGAAGGAGGTCACAGAGCACAAAAGCATTCGTAGCACAGCAAGTAATAGAACTGTATCAGGTAGAATAATCTCATTCTCCGAAATACAGAGCAACTACCAATTAATATGAATAAGAAAGTTCTGCTGTGGCAGGAGGTCATTCCATGATGGTGTTTATTGCCTTTTCTGCAGATTCTCTATCAACTACTGTCATATTTTAGCTGCCAGTTCTCATATTGTGCCTGTGTTGCAGTTTGCAGGCATGTGTCTCAGTAAGCGTGACATTAAGCAATGTGATAAAAACCTCCCTAGAGAACAGATAAAGTGGAGTTTTGACTGTCTCATTGCTGAGTGAGAGAACAGAGCTCACATCTGGTATGTTCCAAAACTTAGGCTAGTTCCAATTTTGCCTTAGAATCAGGCTCACCTGAAATAGTTCTGGTGGGGTTTTTATGGTAGTCAGTGAAAACCAGTAACAGCCACAGGAATATCCTTGCAGTTAAACTGGGGCAAGTGCAGAAGGAATGATTAATTTCAGGATTGGCTTCTAGGCTCATGCAGCTGTCTGCAGCATTTTGTGTGACTTAGTGCATGAGATATCTATCATTGTTCACATTTAATGGCTCCATTTTTGGCTGCCTGGACAGCCTTTGCTTTCTTAAAATGGAGGCAAAAGTGGGATTTTATTTGCATGCATGGCTGTAACAGCATAACAGCAGAAAAGGAGGAGTTAGACAGAATAATTTCTGTCTATTTAAAAGATTTTAACTATGTAATTAGTAACAGCAATTACTGTAAAAGTACAAACATTTGCTGGTTCCTTACAACCACATTGTAGTTATAAGTAAGAGTTATAATGAATGCGGAAAAGAATCTAAGACTGAAGAGGAAGATACACTTTGAAATAGGAAGAAGCAAAAGAAAATTTCACAATCATGAGCACTGCATCATTTTCAAAAATACACTTTCTGTACATTTTTAATTGGTTTATTATAACATTAATAATGTTAAAATAGAACTAGTCTCCTGTTCTGTTCTAAAACTCTGTTTTAATTTGTCTGGTTACAACAGAGCTGCTCTGAACAAAAACCGACTGAAGAGGAAGAAAGCTTCCTCCTTTTGAGTTGGGATTTGTTATTGTCAAGAGGAGTTTCCAATCTGGAATGGTCTTTTGTCAGCCCTGCTGCTGGGTTGTCCCAAGTCTTTCTATAGCTGTTTTAGAATGTGATGGGGCTTGAAAACTGTCATACTTTAACAGTCCAAATGAATTACTTGAAGTGGACTCCTAGGCTGTAAATCTGAAATAATTTCAGTTTATACTCTATACGTTACTGATGATTACAAAGCAGAGCTGAAGAGTGATTATTAGCGATTTCTTATTTACACTGTAGAGTTTTGAAATGCTGTATGAAAAAGGGAAAAACATAAGCTGTTCATGCAGTAGTTAGGCTATGTAACAGGAGTCCTGAGTGGGGAGCGAGTGTAAAAATGCCCAAGGAAGGACTGCTGACGGCCAATATTGAAATAAGACCAAAAACCTATGAATAATTTTTGTACAGCGGGAATAGATTCTGTTCAAAGTGAATGATTTCTCTACTACAATTTATCTGTGTTCCAAAGATGAGATAAAAAGAAAGAGAAAATAAAGTGACATATAAACAAGTCTTGATATTTTATGTGGAATGGATGCCTGTAGAATCAAGAGTAAGTTAAGAGCAAAGTTTATCTTAATGATTTGAAAGTTATGTGGTTCACTTCGAAGTTCCTTGAAAGAAACCCTTTTGGCAGAAAACCCTTTCACGCAGGCTTAAGTGAGAGCCTAGAGCCCTCTAGTGTTAGCGTTAGTATAACAGACATTTATTATCTGCACTAGTATAGTTCAGCTTGACCTCCGCAGTGTTCCGATCAGTGTCAATAAAGAACTACTGCGGCAATTACTTTCTTCCAGCTAATTGTTTATTGACTTTATTATTTATCTACAGTTTAAAAATTGTCCATTTATTTTTAAGAGATATAACTGATATCATTCAGCCCAGTTTTTAGGAAGGCCTACTTTAGGGCCGTTACCCAGTCTGCCTCAGCAATAAGATAGGTCCTATGTAAAGGAAAATTTAGGAAGCCTGTAAGGCTTGTCTACTACATCCACTGCAGCTGTCTGTTTTTCCATTTACTCTGTGCCTTGTTTCAGGGAGGCTCTGCAAGTCCTTCCGCTAGCTCTTTCATGCCCAAAGCATGTTGTCCCCTCTTCTTTTGAATTGTGGATTTCTGTTTGCTCTTTCCCAGCACTGGGTCTATATCTGTGGTACAGATCCTTCCTTCTCGAGGGCAGCATCTCCAGTACATCCTCAGCTACAGGTTCTGTTTACCTCCATGGTTTGCCTTGGCTTATGTTTCCCTTCCTTGTTTCTCTGTCTCCCTATGCCAGGACCAAAGTCTGCCTATTCCTTTGCTTCTCCTCCTTCTTATGCCACCAAACTCTAGGTTGGCTTTGGCCTCTGCTGTCGTTGTCATTATCACCTCTCAGTCTTCCCATGTGCCACATGTGTCTGTTATTCCCTTCTTCCCCATCATATTATTTTTTCTTCTGTCAGAGAGTTATATGAAGCGACTGCTGCCACAAACTTAATATGTGCAGAGTTTTCCAGGGAAGAGTGTTGCTGCTGGGATACTGAGATACAGGCTTTACATGGAAAAACAGCTAATGATCTTGAAGCAACATGGAGGGAATCTGTTATTTCAGTGGGATTTGTCAGAAAATAAACCCCTTGTGTTCCAGCCAGTCCTCAGAGATCAGAGGGGCTGAGCTTAATTTCTGATTATAACCAATTCAACATTATACATCCAGTCATGTTCAGCAAGGACTTTCATGATTATGGATTCATGAATAGTGCTGTTCATTGAAGCAATAAGAATATAGATTCAGAATTGTCATTGGCAAATTCACTTACTGCGTTGTCACTAAAATCCAAAGCTAGCAAGCGTTTACTTGAGCTCATATAGAAAGAACAGTTGACAATTCATTAAGCTTAGTCCCACCTGAGTATCATCCGAGGTAGTCAGAGGGAGAAACCTTGCCAAAGGGGAATCCCTGCTTTGGGGAGGAGAGAGGAGCAAGTGCATCAACTTGTCTGTAAAGTAGAGTCATACTCTCATCCTCTGCCCATCTGGAGGGGTTCAAATACCAAATTTATCATTTTGAGAGAAGTGGAGATGAGACTGTAGTCAAATTGCCTGCTGCTGCTGTCACAGGTGTTGGGGGGGGCAGACACTTTCTCACTGTGATGCATTTTTTATATGTAAATGAGGGAGAGTTTCAATTGCCTTCTGTCAGGCTGCTCAAAGGCCCTGGGTCTTGTGCAAGGGCAGAACAGAAGGGTGAATCACATCTCTCCCTCTTCCACCGGGCTGAGGTGGGAGCAGTAAGAGCCCTCAGGCCTCCACCTGGTAGCCTAATCACCCCCATCAAGATGTTGAAATGACCAAGTTTTGTTAATTCCTTCACCATGGTATCTCACAACCTCAGGCCTCATTCCTACACTAGCATGCCTGGGAAGGCCACAGAATCTGTCACTCATGAATCAGTCATGAATTCAGTAGTAGTGCTGCACTGGGAAGCCTGGTGGAACAGAGCAGTATGCTATCTACCTGGGACCTCATTTGGAAGCAGAAGAGCCTATCAACAGGAAAAAGCAGACAGTGAAGTAATAACTCCTGAGGGAGAGCTCTGCTTACCTCTGGGTGGGGAGGTATAGGGGTTGTTTTTGTTCTATGAAAGAACAGGCGAGAAAGCAGCCTAAACTGCTGCTGGGCACCTGCAGAAAGCCTATGTTGTTAACTGAGCTGCCCAAACTGTAGGCTAGGAGAAAGGTCATCACCTTTAACTTTCTACTCTTCTCCCTACCGATTTGTAATTTTGTCATTTGTAAATGTCATTTGTAAATTGTGCAGAACATGTTGCTTGGTGTTATACAATCTACAGTCAGATCTGTGGTGGCTAGTTCAAACTATAGTGTAAATAAAGCTGGTTAGTAACCTGTCAAAACTTGTAGATCTATGATTGTGCAATTTCATATTTGAGATTTGATAAATTTCAGATTTATGTATAAATATGAGACTAACTGGTCTGGGATACTTTGGATAGTTTCTGTGTGTCAGGTAAAGAACTTTCAGAGCTACAATGTATGTACAGGTTCAACGATGTGCTTGCTTACTGAAATCTTACTAAGTGATAGCATCTGAAGTAAAGTGCTTGGAACATTTTCAGTATTTGCTTTCAAGTGCCTCTCATTACAAGCAGTATCAAAGCTCTGTAGGGGGTGAGGTGCCACAGTCTAGATTGACTTTTGACCTGGAGCTGTTGAGAAATGGCTGTAGTAGGATGGGAAGCAAATGCTTTATGGGGCCAGCAACTCTCGTGGGAGGGATTTAATGAAAAGTCAAAGAAGGCATGTTGTAAAATGCTAAAAATTTATTAATCATCATTACTTTTTCATAAGGAAAAAAATATTTCAAAACAAAATAGAAGACAAAAATATGCCACACCCAGATAACATGACTAAGAAATGGAATATTATTAATTCTGAAAGTAATGACCCAATAAATCAATTTTCCAAAAACAAAATAAATAGCAATGGTTCAACTTTTAAAAGCTTCCTAGGAAAGAATTTACTATTATTATTATTATTTTTTTTTTTTTTTTTACAAAACTCCTTCATATGCCCTGTTGGCAAATATATATATATATGTATACTTCTGTAAACAGTTAATCAGAAACAAAAAAAAATCCATATTTTCATACAGTTACCATGATGATGGTGTTATGTAAACAAAGTGTAGTGTGCAGCAGCTTCTCATGATAAGAGTTCTTTTTCTTATGAGAATATATAAGAAAATATGCCCATTATAAATTTTTCAAAATGTTAAAGTTTATAGTTTTGAGAAGATATGGCTTCCTGCAGTCTAAGTTTTCTGTAATGCAAAAAGAAAACTACAGAAACAGAGAGGTACAGTTTTCCTCGGGTTGGTTTGTTTTCTGGACTTTAGCTTTTGATTTGTGTTGATGAACTGGAATGAAAGTGTCATTAAAAAGGTCAGCCTACATTAATGGACATATTAGATATTGTCAAGTGTCCATGTTATGCCACCACAGGCAAGCGTCAAGCCAGAAAAGAATGCTGTTCTCAGAACAGACTCGTGTAAGTGTAAATCCAGCTTTCAGTGTTACATTACAGCACTTCTGAGAAGACAAACAAACTAGCAGGAAATGTCAAAATGACCTTATGCTGTACCTCTCAAGGTGTAAAAGAAAACACATGAAAAACAATAGGAGATAAATTAGCAATGAAAACTGAAATAATGTAGACAGTCATATTGAGTTTGTATGCAGAAAATATCATGTTCATCCAAAATTTTAGCTGCTTTTGACACTTTTGTGTTTTTTTTTCAGTTTTTCTTTTTTTTAGTCTTACATTCAGCCCTTTTTTGATGACTTTTCTCTAGTTCTAATTTTAGACATCTGCTTGTTCCTGAGAGGTCTTTATCTGGTATGTTGCCTGTTGGGTGCTGACTTGGGAAATGCACTCAGCGCTCACACAGCTGCATTTCTCCACATAGGTGTATGAGTGATCAAGATAGGTTCCGTCCCTGCATGTCAGAGTCACTTTTCTTTGGCTGGTCTTGATTTCTTGACAGCATGAGCATTTATGTTCCATCATATTTGCCTCTGGAGAATATCTGATTGCAAAACCAGCAAAAGAGAAAGAATCAGAAATTATGTGAGAAATACCACTGACCCTCCCACCCATTATTAAATATAACCAGAAGTTGTGTGGAACTATTGCTCAATATTACCATTCTTACAGTATTGTGGTGACATGTAAGTTGCTCCTCACTGTAAAAACATATGGATTTAGCTCTTCCTTAAGGCCCAGAAAAAGTAAATTAATTAATCCAGATTACACAGATAGATAGTACAAAATGAGAGAATAGTGAGAAACAAATAACCTCACTTTTACATGGGGAAAATCAAAACTCAGGTCTCTTCACTATGACACTGAAGAAGCTGTTCAAACATTGTAAGTCTTGAGGTAATTAACCTAGTACAATATCAAGTCTGTTAAAAATTCTTATCAGCACAATGGAAACAGCTGATGACTGGGTAAATGTTGAACATACTACCTGTGGTTTTCTTTATGTAACTAGTGTAAAGAGTAGAAAACAAGAGACCACAATTATCTTTTTATACCACTTACCGTGAGTAAGCATCACAGCTTCCTTCACAGTATGCCATCTCAACTGGTGCGGGAGATACACATCCATGATATTTGATTACCGTAGTAGTATTGTGCTTCATACAACCTGAGGTTGTCACAAACCAAGGTAAAATAGGTTAAAGTACATGTGCATATGAATAGTTATTTGTGTATGACAGCTTTTAGCAGAAAACTGAGGTGGATGGAGCTAAAATAGGAAATAAGATCACAGTGCAGTTCTTAATGACTTGCTGCATTTATTATCAATAAATGAAAAATTCCCTTTCGCTTATGCAGCTTTGGTGCAAGATACAGAAATAAAGAGCAGCACTATGGCAACTGCTCAATGCACACATACCTCCCAGGACTGGCTTTTCTTTCTTCCTTAAAGAGAGTGTATCTATGAAAGTTGGAGAATAGTTATAGTCCTCTTGTTCCAATGAAAAGGCTAACACTTGGCAGTAGGGGATGGGATAGTTCACCACAACCATGTTTTTCAAGGCCCTAAAGTGAATGCTGGATTCCTCTTTTTTTTTCCTTTCTCCCCTCACTGTGAGGCAGTGCTCCCAAACTAGGTCTGTTCACCTCATCATGCAAGATGGACTAATATGCCGAATAAGGCACATATCAACATTACTTACTTTAACAAAAGGGTCATTACTTACTCTTTAGTTTTACTTGGCATTCTTTACAGCAGCCATCATCAGATAGTTTAATGTCATCCTTGAGTAGGAAAACAGAAAAAGATGCTCAAGTTTCATATCTACGTACTAAAGCAGCAACTTCTCTTGGTTCCTAAGTTTCTCTGGCACCAGAAAATTTTTTGTACTGACATGGAATCTAATTTCAACAAGGCTAAATATTAAGGGCACGTAATTACTTCAATATTAATAAGAGTTCTTTGAAAGCTGACAATGAGGGGAACCAGAACTGCTTTGCTGTCATCAGAGTTGGGTTGTGGAGTAGTAGAATTTCAGAAATGCAAGTTGTAGCACATGTGGGATATTTTGAGTGATCCAAATCATACAGATGATTATGTCAGACAGGGTAATGCAATTAATGAAATAACTGACTCCCCAGATGTGTGGGGCTGGTTCTAGTCTGCCCTGGGGTGTGTTAAGTCAAATGATGTTGTGAACTGAAAGGGTTTATTTTCCTTCACCTTTGCTCTCAGTAAATGAATTCTAAGAAATAATTTACAATCGTAAATAATTCAGGAATAAAAATCTCATGATTTTTCAATAAGATTGTTGCTTCTAGGTCACCTGACACATTTAGGAAACCAAGACACTATGCTGTACCTAGTCCTTGGTAAGGATTGATATATATCACCCATTGTAATTTTAATTTGCTTTTCTGAAATGGAATTTGATGGGGACCAGATTCAGAGTGGTTGAAATTAGAGCTACATTCTGTGTGATGCATCTGCTAGGTATTTTCCTTGGAGACCATGATGCTTCTATCACTGCAACCTTTTCAAACATGAGAACTAGTAGAAGACAACTTACTGGATCACAGTCATCAGGGTTAAAGGGAGGACAGCTTTTCTGTAAGACAACTTGAATGAACTGGTCATCATTTTTTTCACATGTGTAAGTTGTACAGTTATCAACAGGTGGGTTCCAGAGTTCTCCAACCTGAAAGTAGTTAAAAATTAGTGAATAATTCTTCTAGTGTCTTATCATTGCTGCCTACTGCAGTTTTTATTATTCAAAAAAATTTCCTTGGATTTCAGTTGATAGCTACTTCTCATATACTACTCTGAGTCTTTTTCATTAACCATGTGAAAAGGATGTATTTTTATGTGTATATGGACATGATTTGTGTGAATAGGATAAATATGTGGACTCATTTGGAAAAAATAACTTGTGTTTCAGTGGTTTTGTCATCAAAATTTATGGGTATGTTCATTCAGATACATGGCAGAATTTCTGCTGACTTCACTGACTCCTCCTGTCCTAAATCTCTAAGCTATCTTGAGATTGACTGTCTGGAGCAGAAAATTGTCTGCTCACATAAAATTATCCTTTGAGCAAAATGGATGCTTTATTTTCAGAGATGAAGGCAAATAAAGGCCCATTGCTTTCACCTATATATTTTTCTGTGTTGATTTCTGAAAGCCATTGTTAAATATCACAGTTGCTTCCACAAGTCTGTGTTAGAACTGGAGTTACATGGCTCAGGGTACTTGTTCAAGCTGTGTGAGGCAGTCTGTTCCTTGCCTGAATAACCATTTGTCTAACATGAGGAAAGATTCAGCAAATAAATGTGACTAACAGACAAGGAGAGGAAAGAGTGAAAGACTACCAGAGTTCACCAAAATTGAACTAAACCAGGGGTAGTTACCTGGAGCACACGTGTGATGTCTCCTACAGTCACTATACAGGCTGCTGCCTTGCACGTGCCACAGCACTCTCCAGGTTTCTTTGTATACTTATAACCCTGTTTTGAAAGAAATAGAAAGAAAATGACATAGAGTGAGGGCACTGACCTTAACTGGTGGATATTTGAGCTGAGTGGGGTAGGAATTACTGACAGCAAAAGAGCACTCACCACTGGGCAGTATGTGTCACAGATAACTGGCTTGCACTTGACAATAGGCTGGTGGGGGCTTGAATGGGAGGATTCAGAGCAGGTGCATTCTTCACAGGAGCCTGATGGAATGACAGCTCCAGGCTGGGGGAAGTTAGAAAACCAGTCATTTTTAGTCAGTAAAAACAAGTTACTTTGTGTATGTACATCACAGACAATACAAAGCTGAAGTTATTGTTAAATACAGTTTGGTTATTTTATTTAAGCAGAGTTTCTGTTGTTAGCAATACCAATTTTGGAATTAAATTCTGCTAACGTAGAAAGGAGAGCAAAAAAGGCTTTTGCTTGTAGGGAGGGTGTTGATAACCTGACCTTGATTAAATTATTAATGATGTTTTATCTCAGGTCTTTCTGCAAAATATGGTTCATGTTAAGAGTCTCAAAAACATTGCATTGTGAACCTGTGTGAATATGTATTAATGTACTGAGTTACTCTGTGTACTTACTGCATAGTAGGTTTCATTGACTACACATCCATGTCCTGTAAAGAAGGAAGAAAGATGGTGTCATAGAAGTGTAAGTTTTAGGAAAAGAAGTACATGAAAAACCTACTACTTTGTTGGCCCAATATGAAAACACAGATAATTTGCATATTTTTCAATTTTCTTGTATTCATCAACTTAGAAAAATTTAGCTGTGAATAGCACATGAAGAAGGTGCATAGTACTTACTACATTCAAAAGTAGGACAGCATTTTCCAGGCTGCATTATTGTGACAACTTCCTGTCCCTCTAAGCACTGGTGTGTGACCTCAGGGCAGAGGCTAGTGTTGCAGTCTGTTTAATGTAAGGCAATATAGAAAATAATGAACTCAGAATTTTTAAACAAAAGTGATTTTGTTTTTCATGAACTTCAGAAGTTGTCCTATGGAGCAAATACGGTGTGTTTACACAAGCTAGTCTAATGACTAAGTCGGTGTATTTGGCCAGCTATTTTAAATTGAATGGGCATTTGCATAGCATTTGTAAAACAAAGTGTTGTCTGACAATGATAAAGTGATGATTCCTAGGAAGAGGTATTTCCAAAGAGAAATTTATATCAGTTGGGAAATCTGATGACTCTCAACGATTAAGGAACTTTCTTGAGCAATTTTTAAATGTTCAAGACTTCTTAATTTTTTTATATATTTTTTTTTATACTGGTCTTTGAAGCAGAAAAGGCTTTAAATAGCTTTTGAATATGTTTTTTTTTTCAGATGGTAGCAGCTTTAAAAGTTTCCAGTGTTGAATAATAGATGATTTCCAGTTACTTTTCTGTGTCTAACTATGGACAATTTTTCATCTTTGAATTTGTCCTCTTCAGGCATCTAGTAAATGCTCTGCAAGAAGGTACTTAAGGTACTTACAAATGGGATGAGGGAGAAAAGCATTATGAAATCAATAGAGGGTATTAAAAAGAATGAGAAATTATTGCTGTAGTTGCCCAAAATTATATTACCCATGCCTAAAAAATATATTCCCCATGATAAAGAGCTAAGCACTTACAGCACTCAGTCCTGGTACAGCATGGGTCTTCTGGTATCTGTGTCTGAACAGGCATATAACCTGGTTCATCACAAAATACTTGCTGTGTCAGGGAACACTTGTGTTTTTTACAGTGCACTTTAAGAGTATATTTGTCACAGACGCATTCCTGACAATCTTTCATCCACTTTTCTCCTGGCTATATTAAAAAGGAAATAAAAAAAAAAAAAAGAAAAAAAAACCAAACACCAAAGAAAAAAAAAGAAGAAAAAGTTATATAAAAATTCAAACCAAAATTTTGTTTCTTGTTAACTTATTCATGGGTACAGTGATACCTGATTACATCAACCTTTTCATCTTCCTAGTATTTTTAGATTTTATAAAAAACCTTCAAACTGAAGCTAAGGAGGGAATTACTGGAAGCCACTGAAGGTTTTGAGTATGTTTACACATCTGTCACTTTCTGTTTATTAGTAGTGTTAGTATGAGGGATATAAAAGATCTAAAGGAGAAGTGATTGAGCTTTGTATGCATTTTTGAATAGGAAGTTATCATACGACATACTCATTTACACATTAGGTTACAGAGAGAAATTTCTATAACTTGTGTGCAGCTGAGGAATTTAGAATACAGACTATCAACATTATCAAGCAAGAGGTAAACTTTGCTATATATCTGTCCATTCATACCTAGTAACTGTAGCCAGCCAAACTTGTGGAAACAAAAGCAGCACATATGCCAAAGTTCCACTACTACCATCTAGCGGTTTGGTTTTTTTTTTGTCTTTTTTCTAATTATTTCTTTTTTAATTATGTGAGGTGGATTATTGAAAGAATATCCCCTAATTTACTGTTGGTTTTTCTTAGGGAATAATGTGGTTTCTGCTCTGGCACTCTGTCCTGGTTTTGTCTGGGATAGAGTTAATTTTCTTCTTACTAGCTGGTGCTGTGCTGTGTTTTGGCTTTAGCCTTGAGAACAATGGTGATAACACACCCATGTTTTAGTTGTTGCTAAGTAGCACCTACCCTGATCAAGGACTTTTCTATCTCTTGTGCTCTGCCAGTGAGGAGGACCATGAAAAGCCGTGAGGGAGCAGAGACAGGACATCTGACCCAAACTAGCCGCAGCAGTTTTCCATACCACAGCATGTCATGCCCAGTATATAAACTGGGAGAGATACCAGTAAGGACAGATCCCTGCTCAGGTCAGGCTGGGTATTGGTCGGTGGGTGGTGAGCAATTGTATTGTGCATCACTTGTGTTTATTCTTTTCCTTTCTCCTTTTAGTTTTATATTCTCTCCCCTTGTGATTTCCCTTATCATTATTATTATTAGTAGTAGTAGGATATTGTACTTTAGTTGTTAAACCGTTCTTATCTCAACCCATGGGGTCTACATTCTTTTGATTCTCCTCCCCATCCCAACAGGGGTGTGAGCGAGTGGCTGTGTGGTACTTAGCTGCCAGCTGGGTTTAAACCATGACATACTCCCAGTTATTTTTAAGACTAAATGGGAACAAACATTTGAACAAACCCTAAAATTTTCCCCAGCCTAAGCAAAACTTCATGAAATGCTAAATATCCTTTTGCTTTATTTGTCTGTGCTTTATAAACCATACTGATTGTGATACTTACCCATCTGGATATTCCATTTGGTTCCCTGCAAGCTGGAGAAAAAAAAAAAGGAATGAAGATTTACACCACTGAAAACTGACATAGAGTAAATTTGTGCAGTTTCAAATAGAAATACTGTGAAGATAAAGCTAACAAGAAAATGAATATGCAGACTTGTTCTTCTGAAATGTAGAATTCTACCATCTTGGTAGGCCTCATGTAAAGAAGGAAGATAAAAAAAAAGGGTAATATTGATTATCATTCAATTTTTAGATGAGGAGGTTAAGGAGCTTCAAGTAGTTGATTGACTCATGAACTGACCATATAGAAGATGGCAGTAGAACACAGACCTTGTGGCTATCAGTCTGGATCTCTATTCCCCAGACTAACTACAGATACTTACAGCATTCAGAGACACAGATGTTGCTATCTTCACTCATGAGTGTCTTTCCTTCAGGACAGAAACATCCTTCAGTTACTCCATAGCCAGGAAGCTCAACAAAGCTAGAATGTGAGGAATGTGTATATTTGAGTACAACATTTTTGCATTGAAGCAGGAGAGAGCAGCACATATAAAAGGTTGACATGCCAGATAAAAGGGAGGCAAAAAAATTATTTTCTGCAGTTCAACAAGAAGTACATATTCATAGAGCTAACATATTTTTAAATCTTGGAAAAAATATCCAAAGTCACAAGACATTTCATTATGAAGTAACTAAATTTACTAGGGAAAGTAGATAAATAAAAATAGGGGAAAAAATGCCCAGAACAACCTTAAACAATTTTTTTTTTTTTTGGCTTTCCATACCTTGGATCACAGGTAGCAGGATTAATGGGTCCACATGGCTTGTATACCAAGCTTGATGGACAGTTGTATGCTGTATGGAAAAAGAATAAAAAAGATCAAAAATTGAGAGTGCATGCATTTTTGAAGCAAAAATGATTACAGCTTTGCCTTCTTCATATGCAGCTTCTGTGAGTCAGGATGTCGCTGTAATTTTTTAGGCAGTAGTCAAGTGTTAGATGTAAGACGTGTTTACTGAATAAAACACTTAAGTACTGCCATTTCTCACACACACACATTTTTGAGTTCTGCAATACTTACAGCATGTATTGTTGGTCTTTCCTCTCCAGTCAATGCAGACACCTCTAGCAGCACACTCTGTAGCATATATCTCCAAACTGGAGCACTGCATGGATTCATCAGCTATACGACATCCATCAAAAACACAGCCTTTGAAAAATGGTTCTGGTGGTATTACAGCATGGCATTCTGCAAAAATCCTGCAGACAGAAAAGAGACCAACCCCTTATATAAAATACATATAAAATCTGTTGTCAGAGAGCACTTTCCGGATGTAATGGCACATGACTCTCTGCTTCAAGCAGGAATGTATTGCAAGAAACAAGACCCTAGGAATGGCCAGTAATCTGGGAGATAGATTCAGGACATGGAAGGTTTGGAAATTTGAAGCTCCATTTTTTGTTTTTTCCTAAAGAGGCTAATGGTCATAGTGTTTCTGTGTGTGTACGGACCTTTTTCATTAGTCTGACATGAGAAATTTCATGAAAATGCAACTGCATCATATTGAGGGAAAAGGGATGATAAAAGTAGCTGAGAGAAAAGTCTAACAACAATAGCTTGAAACTTAGACACTACAGCAAGCATCTGTAAAAGGGCCTGTATAAGTAACACAGCTGAAAAAAAAGCTTTCTTCAGAGCTCACATAAGAAATAGGGTGGGAAGCAACCCTTTGTGCTTTTGGGGTTCCATGTTTTACATTAAATGTACAAATAATGATGGAAGCTTTTTGGCTGGGATATTTCTGTCTGCTGTGTTAACTTGCATGGTAACCAGATTCTTTACGGATTGTGTTGAAGGCCCACTTCAAATTTAGTGTTCAGTCTTTACTTAATAGTATAACTAGAGTGAGTGAACATAACCTGGAGAGCAGGGAGGGAGGAAGGAAGGAAGATAGCATATATCTGTGTAGTTGCAACACAGGAAGTATGGATTTAGTGCTTGCTGCATCCCTGCTTTTCTGACTTTACCTCTCCTTGCTCAGTTATCTTTGTCATGGAAGTCATCAAAGGAGAGTTTCTTTGCAAAAGCCTTTTACTATATATATCCTGTTATTTAGCTGACATTTTCAGCTTTTTTCACATACAAGGGCTATAGTTCTTACTCTTCCTGTAAGATACTGAATTTTATCTAGAAGGAGTGAATTCATTCAGATTTTTTCTTACTCGCTCCAGATAAGGTTGCAAAGAGAAGGTATTCCACAGTGAGGCTTTGGTGGAGGTGTAGTTACAACTGGTGGTATTGGTACTCCATGGCATGACTTGTTGTTATCAACAATCCAGTGATGAGCCATTTGGGGACAGGAAGAAATGATCTTACCATTTGGTAAGCGGCATTCATCTGCTTTATTGTTTGTACATGTTCCTGTAAGACATAAGCTATGTAAGTCTCATAAACAACATCAAATATGCACAGTGCATTATTGTGCTGATACCACGTTTAGAAATTATGTGTTCATGAAGTGTATAAGGTGCCTTGCTTTGTAGGGATCGCTTTCTTTACAGTTATATGAGCTTTAATTTAGGTTAGGGAAAACCAGACAAACCTAAAACCCCAGCCCCAAAGAAAAAGAAAACAGATTGCTGAAATACTGAACTTTTGTTCCTACAGAAGTGGAAGACTTTTTATTTCCATTTTACTGCCATACTTCCATACTTCTGCCAGTCATGAGACTGCATAGGCAGAGTGGGTGAGAATAACCATGGTAGGGTGGGGAAATAGTTCCACCTCAAGTTAGTGCATCTGTCTTACCACACTGTCCTTCGGTGTTGTTGCCAAATTTGCTGTATGGAAGTTTCACAGAGAAAATCAGCCCACTAAAGGTGATGGTTGCACCAATCTCTGGTATTTCAACAATCATGTTGATGCCAAGTGTTGAGAAAGAAATGCCATCTTTTTTGAAACCTGGTTTGACAATCTTGTGGTTGAAGTACATCTGAATGCAGGGTTAAAAAAAAAAGCACCAGAATTCAGAGTAAGCACTGCTTCTTCCTGATTGTTTTAACTAATGTATTTTCTAATCTTCATACGTAACCCCATGTTGTTGTGCATCACATCCAATGCCCATTACCATCACAATAATAGCATATATATGCATTGATATGTCAGCTTGTATTGTTATATAGCCAGAGTATGGTAATAATCTAAGTGGCCTCTGTGTTTTGTGTTTGTGTAGACTGTGTGCTAATGCATAGCATTCTAAATCCAAGTACTTTCTTTGTATCTCTCATGGTTTTGTGTACTGTAAACATTTTTCATATGAAAATGAGTGGTAGTTTTCTTTAACTACATAAATACTTCTGCCATTATTATGGAATAACTGCTGCAGAATCACGCTATCCTTATACTACCTGTTGTTAGGCACTGGAAAAGTTGTCTGAATTCAAAATTAAGTAGTATGTCCCTGGTGCCAGTTTTATGCAGTAGTTATATTTATTTGTTAATCTAAGCTGTTCCATTTGCAGCCTGTATCTTATACAAGCTGATGGACATGGATATATTTGCCTGATAACTTTTTGTCAGGAGTTATTCTGCAATTTTTTTCTCATTGAATTGGGATAAAGTAAGAGTTAAAATTGCCAGTTACTTTTTTCTTTCACAAGGAATCACTGGACTAATTGTTTCAGCATGCTTTTCTGACTGCAGGTAAGGAGAATGTGGCATGGCTCTGTTGAGGAAGAGTGCATACTGAGACAGACTTTCCCTCCCACCTCTTTGTGTTTTCTAATTGATTAGTAAATTCCCCAGTATAGGAGTGAGACCGTCTTCAGCATGAAAGTCACACTTGTGATTTGCATTCATGTTTCTTAATAATGTGTTTGTTTATATAAGTCAATGTCACAATATACTGGTTTTCATTAAACACAAATCAGGCACCTGACTGATCATTCTTCCTGACTTCTCTGTCAGCTGTATAGTCTGTTTCCTAGTGTTACTTATGTGTACATGTACATGCGCATAAAAAATCATATCTGCGTAGTGCTAAGTTGTTTCTGATATTTTTTCCTTAGGAACTTTTTTTTCTTAATGATACCTACAAAAAAATCTGGAGAGGGACTCTTACAGGGGCATGTAGTGTCATGACAAAGGGAAATGGTATTAAGATGACAGAGGGTAGATTTAGATTAAATATTAAGAAAACATTCTTCACTATGAGGGTGGTGAGACACTGGAACAGGTTGCCCAGAGAAGCTGTGGATGCCCCATCCCTGGCAGTGTTCAAGGCCAGTTTGAATGGGGCTTTGGGCAACCGGGTCTGGTGAAAGGTGTCCCTACCCATGGCAGGGGAGTTGGAACTACGTGATCTTGAAGGTCCCTACAACCCAGACTATTCTATGATACCCTCTACCCTCATCACGTCCATGATGCAATATTCTAACAGACTGTATTTCGAATTGTAATCAGCAAGGCCTCAGGACCTTATTTCTTTTTTGCAAAAAATAGAGAAATTAAAAAGTGTATATTTTACCACATTGGTCATCACACCATTCATGAGTTTACGGGTCAGCAGCACTTCTGCAGATTTATAGAAAATAATAATGGATTTAGGGCAGGAAAGTCCATCTTCTGAATCGCAGTAATAATTGTCAATGTAAACACGGAAGTTGTCATATTTAGGCACAATCTGTTTCACCAGGACGTAAGTACAGTTTTCAAGGAAAGTATAGTAGGTTCCATCAAAAGTAATATAATGTGGATCACCCCATCCACTGCACACACCTGGTAGAGAGAACACATTTAGAAGATTAACGTGAAAACTAATGTAGAAGAAAGAATTTATAAACTGAACTGAATATACTACAATTTAAGAGGACCCCTAAGAAGACAAAATGCCCATATAATTTGTTTGCTTTTTTCAAAACAGATTTTTCCTTTATCTACTGGTGCTTACATTGACATTCATAATGATAACAGCAGCCATTTTCATCAGGTACCAGTATTGCTGGATATTTGTTTGCACAGGTAATTTCCTTTACAGGTGGGCAGTGCGTTGGAATTACTTCTACCTTGTTGTCTCCCTTACAGATGAGTTCTGTACAGTTGGATAATTTGTATCTTTGTCCAGGCTGCAAAATGACCAAAAATTGCTGTTAGGAATTTGCAAACATATATGAACTCTACTCATATTTTCCATTTAGTGGTATATTGTTTCCAGTAATGGTGGTGTTGGAAAGGAAGATAATATGTGTTACTTTTCTTAAATTTGTGGTGCTAATGATTTGTAATGTTGACCAGAGGTATTCATAATTATGACCATGATACAGAGGATCAGAATGTGTTCTGGTTTCAAAATCTGAAGGAAAGACTAAAATTAAAATATTTGCTGATAGTACAAATTCATCAATATTCTACAAAATTTATTTATTTTAATGCTAATGGAGATGGGAACACTTATTCTTCTGAAGTCTAGGGAGATAGGTCATAAGTTAAGGGAACTGATGTCCCTTATGTTAACTGATATTAGCTATGTAATTGTACTTCGGTATCACCACAGACCATCACTATAAAAAAAGGTGTGTACAGAAATAGAGGTGAGAAGGCAGAAGAGAAACTAATACAAGCCTCCACAGTAGCTTACATTATACTATTTAGTGAAGAAACAAAATGTACAAGAAAACTCCCTCTATTATTTCAGAAAGACTTCTCATTTATGCAACACAGTGCATCAGAAAGTGTTTTACTACTACAAAAGTAATTATAAAAGATAATTGTAGCTTGCTTTCTCAGTGTGAAAAAAAATAATAAAGAAGGAACATAAAATTTTATGTTGTTCATATTGCTCACAACAAGAAATACTTATCCTGGCAGCCTGCACATTTAAAACTTAAAAACTACAAACTGTTATTTCTGGTATCAACTTAACATTGATTTTAATTCAGGAATCATAACATAACACAACACAGAAATAACATACTTGAAGAGGAGGGTAAGTAGCAGACACACAACCAGGAAAAGGAAGCCTTCCAGAAGTTGTAGGCAGAGGAACTGTTGTTGTTATGGTAGACCATTCAGGAGACGTAGTGGTTAGAGGAGGAGTAACGTTACAATCCACAGCGTGTCGTTGAACAATACAAGTTGGACTACAGATGGCATAAAATCTACATCCGTCACTATCTGTACGGTTGTAAATCACTTCACCTGAATAGAAAATAAGCAAATCCAGTAAGAGACAAAGAAAAAAAAGAATAAAAAAAAAGCTCAAAAACTGAAGAACTAAATAAAAAAATAGCAACTAAACATTCTGAATATAATGGAATTAAAAATAAACTTGTACTTAAATAAAAACACCAAATAATTAAATAATATATGTATTGACTGATAAAAAATTATTAACTAACCAGGTGAAAAAAAAACACTGCCAATTTTGCAGAAACATGGTGTTGATATAGGGGTAGAAGAAGTGCTGGTAGAAGAAGACGCAGATGTGGCACTACTGGTAGTGAGGCTGGTCATTGGGAAGGAGGTGCTGCTTGGGCAGTTGTAGTTCGGGGTGCAGCAGAGGACGCGGATCCTGTAGTTGAGGCACATCTTTGACTTGCCAGTCTGGTCTTCGTTCTTGCACACCAGCCCAAAGTGGACGTCGCACTGCACCACCTGTCCGACCTGCTGGATGGAGACCTCGGGGTAGTCCTCCGCCCGGCACTCGATATCCTTTGGACGTTGACAGACTTCCTTGCCGGCGGCGCGGATGCGCTGGTAGGTTTCGAAGTCTCCCTGGTTGGGCCCCGAGGAGGGGAAGTCGACGTCGAACCATTCGCTCCAGGAGCACACCTCGGGCTCACAGGCGGTAGTGGACGTGGTGGTGGGGGAGGTCACGCTGGGGTAGTAAATGGTAGGCGTCGCTGTGGGGCTGGTGGTGCTGGCGTAGGTTTGCGATATGATTTCTGAAGAGGTGGGCTGCGTGGTAGAGGAGTGGTATGTGGAGGTGGAGGTCGTGACACTGGAGGATGTTGGGGCAGTGCGGGTGACGGTGCTGGTAGGGCTGGTGGCTGGGAAGGAGGTGCTGCTTGGGCAGTTGTAGTTCGGGGTGCAGCAGAGGACGCGGATCCTGTAGTTGAGGCACATCTTCGACTTGCCAGTCTGGTCTTCGTTCTTGCACACCAGCCCAAAGTGGACGTCGCACTGCACCACCTGTCCGACCTGCTGGATGGAGACCTCGGGGTAGTCCTCCGCCCGGCACTCGATATCCTTTGGACGTTGACAGACTTCCTTGCCGGCGGCGCGGATGCGCTGGTAGGTTTCGAAGTCTCCCTGGTTGGGCCCCGAGGAGGGGAAGTCGACGTCGAACCATTCGCTCCAGGAGCACACCTCGGGCTCACAGGCGGTAGTGGACGTGGTGGTGGGGGAGGTCACGCTGGGGTAGTAAATGGTAGGCGTCGCTGTGGGGCTGGTGGTGCTGGCGTAGGTTTGCGATATGATTTCTGAAGAGGTGGGCTGCGTGGTAGAGGAGTGGTATGTGGAGGTGGAGGTCGTGACACTGGAGGATGTTGGGGCAGTGCGGGTGACGGTGCTGGTAGGGCTGGTGGCTGGGAAGGAGGTGCTGCTTGGGCAGTTGTAGTTCGGGGTGCAGCAGAGGACGCGGATCCTGTAGTTGAGGCACATCTTCGACTTGCCAGTCTGGTCTTCGTTCTTGCACACCAGCCCAAAGTGGACGTCGCACTGCACCACCTGTCCGACCTGCTGGATGGAGACCTCGGGGTAGTCCTCCGCCCGGCACTCGATATCCTTTGGACGTTGACAGACTTCCTTGCCGGCGGCGCGGATGCGCTGGTAGGTTTCGAAGTCTCCCTGGTTGGGCCCCGAGGAGGGGAAGTCGACGTCGAACCATTCGCTCCAGGAGCACACCTCGGGCTCACAGGCGGTAGTGGACGTGGTGGTGGGCGAGGTCACGCTGGGGTAGTAAATGGTAGGCGTCGCTGTGGGGCTGGTGGTGCTGGCGTAGGTTTGCGATATGATTTCTGAAGAGGTGGGCTGCGTGGTAGAGGAGTGGTATGTGGAGGTGGAGGTCGTGACACTGGAGGATGTTGGGGCAGTGCGGGTGACGGTGCTGGTAGGGCTGGTGGCTGGGAAGGAGGTGCTGCTTGGGCAGTTGTAGTTCGGGGTGCAGCAGAGGACGCGGATCCTGTAGTTGAGGCACATCTTCGACTTGCCAGTCTGGTCTTCGTTCTTGCACACCAGCCCAAAGTGGACGTCGCACTGCACCACCTGTCCGACCTGCTGGATGGAGACCTCGGGGTAGTCCTCCGCCCGGCACTCGATATCCTTTGGACGTTGACAGACTTCCTTGCCGGCGGCGCGGATGCGCTGGTAGGTTTCGAAGTCTCCCTGGTTGGGCCCCGAGGAGGGGAAGTCGACGTCGAACCATTCGCTCCAGGAGCACACCTCGGGCTCACAGGCGGTAGTGGACGTGGTGGTGGGCGAGGTCACGCTGGGGTAGTAAATGGTAGGCGTCGCTGTGGGGCTGGTGGTGCTGGCGTAGGTTTGCGATATGATTTCTGAAGAGGTGGGCTGCGTGGTAGAGGAGTGGTATGTGGAGGTGGAGGTCGTGACACTGGAGGATGTTGGGGCAGTGCGGGTGACGGTGCTGGTAGGGCTGGTGGCTGGGAAGGAGGTGCTGCTTGGGCAGTTGTAGTTCGGGGTGCAGCAGAGGACGCGGATCCTGTAGTTGAGGCACATCTTCGACTTGCCAATCTGGTCTTCGTTCTTGCACACCAGCCCAAAGTGGACGTCGCACTGCACCACCTGTCCGACCTGCTGGATGGAGACCTCGGGGTAGTCCTCCGCCCGGCACTCGATATCCTTTGGACGTTGACAGACTTCCTTGCCGGCGGCGCGGATGCGCTGGTAGGTTTCGAAGTCTCCCTGGTTGGGCCCCGAGGAGGGGAAGTCGACGTCGAACCATTCGCTCCAGGAGCACACCTCGGGCTCACAGGCGGTAGTGGACGTGGTGGTGGGGGAGGTCACGCTGGGGTAGTAAATGGTAGGCGTCGCTGTGGGGCTGGTGGTGCTGGCGTAGGTTTGCGATATGATTTCTGAAGAGGTGGGCTGCGTGGTAGAGGAGTGGTATGTGGAGGTGGAGGTCGTGACACTGGAGGATGTTGGGGCAGTGCGGGTGACGGTGCTGGTAGGGCTGGTGGCTGGGAAGGAGGTGCTGCTTGGGCAGTTGTAGTTCGGGGTGCAGCAGAGGACGCGGATCCTGTAGTTGAGGCACATCTTCGACTTGCCAGTCTGGTCTTCGTTCTTGCACACCAGCCCAAAGTGGACGTCGCACTGCACCACCTGTCCGACCTGCTGGATGGAGACCTCGGGGTAGTCCTCCGCCCGGCACTCGATATCCTTTGGACGTTGACAGACTTCCTTGCCGGCGGCGCGGATGCGCTGGTAGGTTTCGAAGTCTCCCTGGTTGGGCCCCGAGGAGGGGAAGTCGACGTCGAACCATTCGCTCCAGGAGCACACCTCGGGCTCACAGGCGGTAGTGGACGTGGTGGTGGGCGAGGTCACGCTGGGGTAGTAAATGGTAGGCGTCGCTGTGGGGCTGGTGGTGCTGGCGTAGGTTTGCGATATGATTTCTGAAGAGGTGGGCTGCGTGGTAGAGGAGTGGTATGTGGAGGTGGAGGTCGTGACACTGGAGGATGTTGGGGCAGTGCGGGTGACGGTGCTGGTAGGGCTGGTGGCTGGGAAGGAGGTGCTGCTTGGGCAGTTGTAGTTCGGGGTGCAGCAGAGGACGCGGATCCTGTAGTTGAGGCACATCTTCGACTTGCCAGTCTGGTCTTCGTTCTTGCACACCAGCCCAAAGTGGACGTCGCACTGCACCACCTGTCCGACCTGCTGGATGGAGACCTCGGGGTAGTCCTCCGCCCGGCACTCGATATCCTTTGGACGTTGACAGACTTCCTTGCCGGCGGCGCGGATGCGCTGGTAGGTTTCGAAGTCTCCCTGGTTGGGCCCCGAGGAGGGGAAGTAGACGTCGAACCATTCGCTCCAGGAGCACACCTCGGGCTCACAGGCGGTAGTGGACGTGGTGGTGGGCGAGGTCACGCTGGGGTAGTAAATGGTAGGCGTCGCTGTGGGGCTGGTGGTGCTGGCGTAGGTTTGCGATATGATTTCTGAAGAGGTGGGCTGCGTGGTAGAGGAGTGGTATGTGGAGGTGGAGGTCGTGACACTGGAGGATGTTGGGGCAGTGCGGGTGACGGTGCTGGTAGGGCTGGTGGCTGGGAAGGAGGTGCTGCTTGGGCAGTTGTAGTTCGGGGTGCAGCAGAGGACGCGGATCCTGTAGTTGAGGCACATCTTCGACTTGCCAGTCTGGTCTTCGTTCTTGCACACCAGCCCAAAGTGGACGTCGCACTGCACCACCTGTCCGACCTGCTGGATGGAGACCTCGGGGTAGTCCTCCGCCCGGCACTCGATATCCTCTGGACGTTGACAGACTTCCTTGCCGGCGGCGCGGATGCGCTGGTAGGTTTCGAAGTCTCCCTGGTTGGGCCCCGAGGAGGGGAAGTCGACGTCGAACCATTCGCTCCAGGAGCACACCTCGGGCTCACAGGCGGTAGTGGACGTGGTGGTGGGCGAGGTCACGCTGGGGTAGTAAATGGTAGGCGTCGCTGTGGGGCTGGTGGTGCTGGCGTAGGTTTGCGATATGATTTCTGAAGAGGTGGGCTGCGTGGTAGAGGAGTGGTATGTGGAGGTGGAGGTCGTGACACTGGAGGATGTTGGGGCAGTGCGGGTGACGGTGCTGGTAGGGCTGGTGGCTGGGAAGGAGGTGCTGCTTGGGCAGTTGTAGTTCAGGGTGCAGCAGAGGACGCGGATCCTGTAGTTGAGGCACATCTTCGACTTGCCAGTCTGGTCTTCGTTCTTGCACACCAGCCCAAAGTGGACGTCGCACTGCACCACCTGTCCGACCTGCTGGATGGAGACCTCGGGGTAGTCCTCCGCCCGGCACTCGATATCCTTTGGACGTTGACAGACTTCCTTGCCGGCGGCGCGGATGCGCTGGTAGGTTTCGAAGTCTCCCTGGTTGGGCCCCGAGGAGGGGAAGTAGACGTCGAACCATTCGCTCCAGGAGCACACCTCGGGCTCACAGGCGGTAGTGGACGTGGTGGTGGGCGAGGTCACGCTGGGGTAGTAAATGGTAGGCGTCGCTGTGGGGCTGGTGGTGCTGGCGTAGGTTTGCGATATGATTTCTGAAGAGGTGGGCTGCGTGGTAGAGGAGTGGTATGTGGAGGTGGAGGTCGTGACACTGGAGGATGTTGGGGCAGTGCGGGTGACGGTGCTGGTAGGGCTGGTGGCTGGGAAGGAGGTGCTGCTTGGGCAGTTGTAGTTCGGGGTGCAGCAGAGGACGCGGATCCTGTAGTTGAGGCACATCTTCGACTTGCCAGTCTGGTCTTCGTTCTTGCACACCAGCCCAAAGTGGACGTCGCACTGCACCACCTGTCCGACCTGCTGGATGGAGACCTCGGGGTAGTCCTCCGCCCGGCACTCGATATCCTTTGGACGTTGACAGACTTCCTTGCCGGCGGCGCGGATGCGCTGGTAGGTTTCGAAGTCTCCCTGGTTGGGCCCCGAGGAGGGGAAGTAGACGTCGAACCATTCGCTCCAGGAGCACACCTCGGGCTCACAGGCGGTAGTGGACGTGGTGGTGGGCGAGGTCACGCTGGGGTAGTAAATGGTAGGCGTCGCTGTGGGGCTGGTGGTGCTGGCGTAGGTTTGCGATATGATTTCTGAAGAGGTGGGCTGCGTGGTAGAGGAGTGGTATGTGGAGGTGGAGGTCGTGACACTGGAGGATGTTGGGGCAGTGCGGGTGACGGTGCTGGTAGGGCTGGTGGCTGGGAAGGAGGTGCTGCTTGGGCAGTTGTAGTTCGGGGTGCAGCAGAGGACGCGGATCCTGTAGTTGAGGCACATCTTCGACTTGCCAGTCTGGTCTTCGTTCTTGCACACCAGCCCAAAGTGGACGTCGCACTGCACCACCTGTCCGACCTGCTGGATGGAGACCTCGGGGTAGTCCTCCGCCCGGCACTCTATATCCTTTGGACGTTGACAGACTTCCTTGCCGGCGGCGCGGATGCGCTGGTAGGTTTCGAAGTCTCCCTGGTTGGGCCCCGAGGAGGGGAAGTCGACGTCGAACCATTCGCTCCAGGAGCACACCTCGGGCTCACAGGCGGTAGTGGACGTGGTGGTGGGCGAGGTCACGCTGGGGTAGTAAATGGTAGGCGTCGCTGTGGGGCTGGTGGTGCTGGCGTAGGTTTGCGATATGATTTCTGAAGAGGTGGGCTGCGTGGTAGAGGAGTGGTATGTGGAGGTGGAGGTCGTGACACTGGAGGATGTTGGGGCAGTGCGGGTGACGGTGCTGGTAGGGCTGGTGGCTGGGAAGGAGGTGCTGCTTGGGCAGTTGTAGTTCGGGGTGCAGCAGAGGACGCGGATCCTGTAGTTGAGGCACATCTTCGACTTGCCAGTCTGGTCTTCGTTCTTGCACACCAGCCCAAAGTGGACGTCGCACTGCACCACCTGTCCGACCTGCTGGATGGAGACCTCGGGGTAGTCCTCCGCCCGGCACTCGATATCCTTTGGACGTTGACAGACTTCCTTGCCGGCGGCGCGGATGCGCTGGTAGGTTTCGAAGTCTCCCTGGTTGGGCCCCGAGGAGGGGAAGTAGACGTCGAACCATTCGCTCCAGGAGCACACCTCGGGCTCACAGGCGGTAGTGGACGTGGTGGTGGGCGAGGTCACGCTGGGGTAGTAAATGGTAGGCGTCGCTGTGGGGCTGGTGGTGCTGGCGTAGGTTTGCGATATGATTTCTGAAGAGGTGGGCTGCGTGGTAGAGGAGTGGTATGTGGAGGTGGAGGTCGTGACACTGGAGGATGTTGGGGCAGTGCGGGTGACGGTGCTGGTAGGGCTGGTGGCTGGGAAGGAGGTGCTGCTTGGGCAGTTGTAGTTCGGGGTGCAGCAGAGGACGCGGATCCTGTAGTTGAGGCACATCTTCGACTTGCCAGTCTGGTCTTCGTTCTTGCACACCAGCCCAAAGTGGACGTCGCACTGCACCACCTGTCCGACCTGCTGGATGGAGACCTCGGGGTAGTCCTCCGCCCGGCACTCGATATCCTTTGGACGTTGACAGACTTCCTTGCCGGCGGCGCGGATGCGCTGGTAGGTTTCGAAGTCTCCCTGGTTGGGCCCCGAGGAGGGGAAGTCGACGTCGAACCATTCGCTCCAGGAGCACACCTCGGGCTCACAGGCGGTAGTGGACGTGGTGGTGGGCGAGGTCACGCTGGGGTAGTAAATGGTAGGCGTCGCTGTGGGGCTGGTGGTGCTGGCGTAGGTTTGCGATATGATTTCTGAAGAGGTGGGCTGCGTGGTAGAGGAGTGGTATGTGGAGGTGGAGGTCGTGACACTGGAGGATGTTGGGGCAGTGCGGGTGACGGTGCTGGTAGGGCTGGTGGCTGGGAAGGAGGTGCTGCTTGGGCAGTTGTAGTTCGGGGTGCAGCAGAGGACGCGGATCCTGTAGTTGAGGCACATCTTCGACTTGCCAGTCTGGTCTTCGTTCTTGCACACCAGCCCAAAGTGGACGTCGCACTGCACCACCTGTCCGACCTGCTGGATGGAGACCTCGGGGTAGTCCTCCGCCCGGCACTCGATATCCTTTGGACGTTGACAGACTTCCTTGCCGGCGGCGCGGATGCGCTGGTAGGTTTCGAAGTCTCCCTGGTTGGGCCCCGAGGAGGGGAAGTCGACGTCGAACCATTCGCTCCAGGAGCACACCTCGGGCTCACAGGCGGTAGTGGACGTGGTGGTGGGCGAGGTCACGCTGGGGTAGTAAATGGTAGGCGTCGCTGTGGGGCTGGTGGTGCTGGCGTAGGTTTGCGATATGATTTCTGAAGAGGTGGGCTGCGTGGTAGAGGAGTGGTATGTGGAGGTGGAGGTCGTGACACTGGAGGATGTTGGGGCAGTGCGGGTGACGGTGCTGGTAGGGCTGGTGGCTGGGAAGGAGGTGCTGCTTGGGCAGTTGTAGTTCGGGGTGCAGCAGAGGACGCGGATCCTGTAGTTGAGGCACATCTTCGACTTGCCAGTCTGGTCTTCGTTCTTGCACACCAGCCCAAAGTGGACGTCGCACTGCACCACCTGTCCGACCTGCTGGATGGAGACCTCGGGGTAGTCCTCCGCCCGGCACTCTATATCCTTTGGACGTTGACAGACTTCCTTGCCGGCGGCGCGGATGCGCTGGTAGGTTTCGAAGTCTCCCTGGTTGGGCCCCGAGGAGGGGAAGTCGACGTTGAACCATTCGCTCCAGGAGCACACCTCGGGCTCACAGGCGGTAGTGGACGTGGTGGTGGGCGAGGTCACGCTGGGGTAGTAAATGGTAGGCGTCGCTGTGGGGCTGGTGGTGCTGGCGTAGGTTTGCGATATGATTTCTGAAGAGGTGGGCTGCGTGGTAGAGGAGTGGTATGTGGAGGTGGAGGTCGTGACACTGGAGGATGTTGGGGCAGTGCGGGTGACGGTGCTGGTAGGGCTGGTGGCTGGGAAGGAGGTGCTGCTTGGGCAGTTGTAGTTCGGGGTGCAGCAGAGGACGCGGATCCTGTAGTTGAGGCACATCTTCGACTTGCCAGTCTGGTCTTCGTTCTTGCACACCAGCCCAAAGTGGACGTCGCACTGCACCACCTGTCCGACCTGCTGGATGGAGACCTCGGGGTAGTCCTCCGCCCGGCACTCGATATCCTTTGGACGTTGACAGACTTCCTTGCCGGCGGCGCGGATGCGCTGGTAGGTTTCGAAGTCTCCCTGGTTGGGCCCCGAGGAGGGGAAGTCGACGTCGAACCATTCGCTCCAGGAGCACACCTCGGGCTCACAGGCGGTAGTGGACGTGGTGGTGGGCGAGGTCACGCTGGGGTAGTAAATGGTAGGCGTCGCTGTGGGGCTGGTGGTGCTGGCGTAGGTTTGCGATATGATTTCTGAAGAGGTGGGCTGCGTGGTAGAGGAGTGGTATGTGGAGGTGGAGGTCGTGACACTGGAGGATGTTGGGGCAGTGCGGGTGACGGTGCTGGTAGGGCTGGTGGCTGGGAAGGAGGTGCTGCTTGGGCAGTTGTAGTTCGGGGTGCAGCAGAGGACGCGGATCCTGTAGTTGAGGCACATCTTCGACTTGCCAGTCTGGTCTTCGTTCTTGCACACCAGCCCAAAGTGGACGTCGCACTGCACCACCTGTCCGACCTGCTGGATGGAGACCTCGGGGTAGTCCTCCGCCCGGCACTCGATATCCTTTGGACGTTGACAGACTTCCTTGCCGGCGGCGCGGATGCGCTGGTAGGTTTCGAAGTCTCCCTGGTTGGGCCCCGAGGAGGGGAAGTCGACGTCGAACCATTCGCTCCAGGAGCACACCTCGGGCTCACAGGCGGTAGTGGACGTGGTGGTGGGCGAGGTCACGCTGGGGTAGTAAATGGTAGGCGTCGCTGTGGGCCTGGTGGTGCTGGCGTAGGTTTGCGATATGATTTCTGAAGAGGTGGGCTGCGTGGTAGAGGAGTGGTATGTGGAGGTGGAGGTCGTGACACTGGAGGATGTTGGGGCAGTGCGGGTGACGGTGCTGGTAGGGCTGGTGGCTGGGAAGGAGGTGCTGCTTGGGCAGTTGTAGTTCGGGGTGCAGCAGAGGACGCGGATCCTGTAGTTGAGGCACATCTTCGACTTGCCAGTCTGGTCTTCGTTCTTGCACACCAGCCCAAAGTGGACGTCGCACTGCACCACCTGTCCGACCTGCTGGATGGAGACCTCGGGGTAGTCCTCCGCCCGGCACTCTATATCCTTTGGACGTTGACAGACTTCCTTGCCGGCGGCGCGGATGCGCTGGTAGGTTTCGAAGTCTCCCTGGTTGGGCCCCGAGGAGGGGAAGTCGACGTCGAACCATTCGCTCCAGGAGCACACCTCGGGCTCACAGGCGGTAGTGGACGTGGTGGTGGGCGAGGTCACGCTGGGGTAGTAAATGGTAGGCGTCGCTGTGGGGCTGGTGGTGCTGGCGTAGGTTTGCGATATGATTTCTGAAGAGGTGGGCTGCGTGGTAGAGGAGTGGTATGTGGAGGTGGAGGTCGTGACACTGGAGGATGTTGGGGCAGTGCGGGTGACGGTGCTGGTAGGGCTGGTGGCTGGGAAGGAGGTGCTGCTTGGGCAGTTGTAGTTCGGGGTGCAGCAGAGGACGCGGATCCTGTAGTTGAGGCACATCTTCGACTTGCCAGTCTGGTCTTCGTTCTTGCACACCAGCCCAAAGTGGACGTCGCACTGCACCACCTGTCCGACCTGCTGGATGGAGACCTCGGGGTAGTCCTCCGCCCGGCACTCTATATCCTTTGGACGTTGACAGACTTCCTTGCCGGCGGCGCGGATGCGCTGGTAGGTTTCGAAGTCTCCCTGGTTGGGCCCCGAGGAGGGGAAGTCGACGTCGAACCATTCGCTCCAGGAGCACACCTCGGGCTCACAGGCGGTAGTGGACGTGGTGGTGGGCGAGGTCACGCTGGGGTAGTAAATGGTAGGCGTCGCTGTGGGGCTGGTGGTGCTGGCGTAGGTTTGCGATATGATTTCTGAAGAGGTGGGCTGCGTGGTAGAGGAGTGGTATGTGGAGGTGGAGGTCGTGACACTGGAGGATGTTGGGGCAGTGCGGGTGACGGTGCTGGTAGGGCTGGTGGCTGGGAAGGAGGTGCTGCTTGGGCAGTTGTAGTTCGGGGTGCAGCAGAGGACGCGGATCCTGTAGTTGAGGCACATCTTCGACTTGCCAGTCTGGTCTTCGTTCTTGCACACCAGCCCAAAGTGGACGTCGCACTGCACCACCTGTCCGACCTGCTGGATGGAGACCTCGGGGTAGTCCTCCGCCCGGCACTCGATATCCTTTGGACGTTGACAGACTTCCTTGCCGGCGGCGCGGATGCGCTGGTAGGTTTCGAAGTCTCCCTGGTTGGGCCCCGAGGAGGGGAAGTAGACGTCGAACCATTCGCTCCAGGAGCACACCTCGGGCTCACAGGCGGTAGTGGACGTGGTGGTGGGCGAGGTCACGCTGGGGTAGTAAATGGTAGGCGTCGCTGTGGGGCTGGTGGTGCTGGCGTAGGTTTGCGATATGATTTCTGAAGAGGTGGGCTGCGTGGTAGAGGAGTGGTATGTGGAGGTGGAGGTCGTGACACTGGAGGATGTTGGGGCAGTGCGGGTGACGGTGCTGGTAGGGCTGGTGGCTGGGAAGGAGGTGCTGCTTGGGCAGTTGTAGTTCGGGGTGCAGCAGAGGACGCGGATCCTGTAGTTGAGGCACATCTTCGACTTGCCAGTCTGGTCTTCGTTCTTGCACACCAGCCCAAAGTGGACGTCGCACTGCACCACCTGTCCGACCTGCTGGATGGAGACCTCGGGGTAGTCCTCCGCCCGGCACTCGATATCCTTTGGACGTTGACAGACTTCCTTGCCGGCGGCGCGGATGCGCTGGTAGGTTTCGAAGTCTCCCTGGTTGGGCCCCGAGGAGGGGAAGTCGACGTCGAACCATTCGCTCCAGGAGCACACCTCGGGCTCACAGGCGGTAGTGGACGTGGTGGTGGGCGAGGTCACGCTGGGGTAGTAAATGGTAGGCGTCGCTGTGGGGCTGGTGGTGCTGGCGTAGGTTTGCGATATGATTTCTGAAGAGGTGGGCTGCGTGGTAGAGGAGTGGTATGTGGAGGTGGAGGTCGTGACACTGGAGGATGTTGGGGCAGTGCGGGTGACGGTGCTGGTAGGGCTGGTGGCTGGGAAGGAGGTGCTGCTTGGGCAGTTGTAGTTCGGGGTGCAGCAGAGGACGCGGATCCTGTAGTTGAGGCACATCTTCGACTTGCCAGTCTGGTCTTCGTTCTTGCACACCAGCCCAAAGTGGACGTCGCACTGCACCACCTGTCCGACCTGCTGGATGGAGACCTCGGGGTAGTCCTCCGCCCGGCACTCTATATCCTTTGGACGTTGACAGACTTCCTTGCCGGCGGCGCGGATGCGCTGGTAGGTTTCGAAGTCTCCCTGGTTGGGCCCCGAGGAGGGGAAGTCGACGTCGAACCATTCGCTCCAGGAGCACACCTCGGGCTCACAGGCGGTAGTGGACGTGGTGGTGGGCGAGGTCACGCTGGGGTAGTAAGTGGTAGGTGTTCCTGTGGGGCTGGTGGTGCTGGCGTAGGTTTGCGATATGATTTCTGAAGAGGTGGGCTGCGTGGTAGAGGAGTAGTATATGGGGATTGATGCCTTTGTTGTCTCTGTTTCTCTTTGGGATTGTGTTGTTGTTTGTGATGTAATTCTTGTATGAATATATCCTGTTTCTGGTGGAGCTGTTGATGCTGTTGTTACCTTATGTTTTGTTTGGAAATACGGTGTTGATACTTCTGTGGATGATGTTATTAGAGTTGTTGAGAAAACTGGAGTAGTTTCTGATGTCTGTGTTGTTCTTTGAGGTGATGCAGTTGGCTGGCATGGTACTGTCATATTTTTGCAGCATTTAAATCTTAGTTTGTAATTATAGCAGATGGGTGGCAGTTGGTCTTTATTGTAACATTTCAACCCTTCTTCTGTGCTACATGTTATGTGTTGCTCCAGGAGGGGATATGGTGTATTAGGGAACCTTACTGCTCTGCATTCAACATCCTTTCTGTTTTCACAGACTTTGTAACCCTTTTTTTCAATGTTCTGAATTGTGTCAAAATCTCCATCTTCATATCCAGACCCTGGATAACTTACATCATACCACTTTGACCAGTAGCATTCTTCTTTAGTACAAATAGCTGCTGAAGGAGAAGTGGTGACAGGTGTTGTCATTTCACTTGTGAGTGTGGTTGTTTCTCTAGTAGCTGAAGGTGCAAATGTTGTACTTTCAGAAGTTAGAGTAACTGGTGAGAGAGTGGTTGAAAATAATGTAGTTTCTTCAGTTGGACTTGATGTTTCTGTGCTTTTAGCTGGTGGTATGATTGGTGTTGACATGCTGAAATGTGTTGTGGAAGAGCATGGTACAAATTGACAGCATAAGATTCTGATTTCATAATTGTCGCACATTGTTGAAATTTGATCTTTGTTGTAACATATAAGCCCAGCTGTTGTACTACATTCTACTTTTTGGCCAAGGTCTTTCAGTGGTATATTGGGGAATTTCTCTGCTCTGCATTGAACAGCCCGTGGAGTCTTACAGACTTCATAACCTTTAGCTCTCAAATCATCAAATGTTTCAAAATCTCCACCATCATAGCCAGGGGTTTGCAGACTCCCATCATACCATTCTGACCAATCACAGACTTCATGAACACATACTGATGTAGTTGGAGACACTGTGAAAGAGATAAAGAAGAGATTTCAAAACTGAAAATAAAATTCTGCAGATATTCTCTTTTTCATTATGTGAAATAGGCTGAAAATTTTCTTCAGGTGATTTGCTTGCATTGTGAACCTGTAACGTATCAAGTTAGTGTACTTATAATTTTATATGAAGTTGAACAGAACATCCATCACCCAGCTATTTAATGTACTGATGTGCTTGGAACTGTCACTTCCTAAGAGATTGCTAATTATCTTTTACAAATCATGTTGAAATAACTCCCATGTAGAATTTATTTACGTTGGGGAAAAAAATAAAAATCTTTTTTTTTCTTTTCCCTTTGATTCAGCGTAATTGATTCTTTTGCTCTCTAGGATGTCAAAGCCCCATTCAAGTCCAGCAGAAAAAATAACATTTATTCTATGCATCAAGATTAATAGGCACTTTTTTCTTCCAAATATGCAATATGCTGCATTGTCTTTGCTCCTCCATTTGAAGGAACAGATGTCTAATGGCTTATTGGTTTGGAGAGCAGTCCATAAGCTTTTGCAGGTGAATTCTCATTGTGAAGTGGCTGTAAAATGGTTAATGAATTCCAGCAGTGCTGATAGTTTCTGAATGCTTTCAAAACTTCTAAACTGTATACTGAATACTTATTTAATTAAACAACATATGCCGTAGTAATTAGAGATTACCAACCTGAAAAATGCTGAACAGGAATTCTAAATACAAAAATTTCAGTATCTCAATGCCAATATCCAAGCAATCCACTTAGTACTGTAATTATAAATGCCATTAACCATACCAGGAATTTTATGGAAAGTAATAATTCCATAATGTAATAGAAAAAATAATGGATTACTCATTCAGTAACAACTATTCCAGGTATAGAAATAGTTACAATTACAGGTAATGTCTTTTTATTGTTCACAATGAAGATAAGCAAAATTATATTATGAAGCCAGTGTGCAGTGTTTCCATTGTGCTGTTTCAGAAGTGGTTTTATTTTCTAAGTTTATTTCCGTCTATTAATTTGGTTACAAAATACTGACTGAAACAAAATGCTAATAACAAATGAGACTTAATGTTACTTATTTTGAAGTTGTACTAATTAATTTATGTTGTGAGTGTGAACATGGTTTTGTAGCTTTATTTTACTCACTATTAGTAGAATGTATTCTTATGGGCTATAAAGGATGTACCTGTGGAAGCGGTGGCAGGTGGCGTAGTGCTGAAGTGAAATGTTGTTGCTGTTGTGGGTGATGTTGAGGTTGGACATTCATAGACAGCCCTTTGAAGTGTTCCATTGGGACCACAGGTTGCGACAATACATCCTCCTGTGCCATCTGTAGTATTGTAGATCACATCTTTATAGTTGTAGTTCTGTCCCTCATAAACGCAGACACATTCTGTGAATCAAAAGACAGTGTTATTCCTTGGTATCTGAAACATAGAGCAGTGTACCTCAAATGCATCCTATTCAGATAAAATCAACTTTGTCAACATACCATCTTCATCGTACTTGCATTTTTTGCCATGATTTGTGCATTCACTGGAAAAGAGAAAAGGGAGGTGATGAATGTAAATATCTTGGTTCATGACATAATTGTATTATTTCAAATTTTTTTACTGATCCTTTGATATTCATTATTTATATGTAGAAAGACTGTATCTTCTCTAAGTTAGATTTTGAGTTCTGCTGTACAAATTCAGGTTAGGTAGGATTACTCAGTTTTCTGGCAAGAAAGGCAACTCCTTCTTGCAGCATACTAAAAGTGCAGTATCCTTATTGGTGCTTTCAAGGGGTGGGTGAAGATGTGGGGAGGGGTGATTTGAAATGTTCTTATCTCCCTGGTAGGTATACTTATTTTTTGGAAAGGAAAGTGCAGTAAATGTATCATCTGAGAAAGGTTATCTTTATCATGGATGTTGAGGTTGTCTATGCAATGACTTCCAAAAGGTGCAAGAATGCATTCTGATTTTCAGGGGAATTTATCTATTAAGAACTAAATCCTGATATATCTATTTATAGTGACTATGGGCATATGTCCACTGGATAAACAATTAAATATGGATATGTATTTATCAGGTTAGGTTTAGTGCTATTAATGATATTGACAATGCAGACAAAGCTGTCTATGAACTGCAAAACATGCCATGAAATTTGGGTTAGCTCAGATTGGCTTCATGCTAAGCTCTTTGTTATTCTGACTGGACTGCTTACAGTGTTCAGGTGTAGCTATTTTAAAGGTGTCTTTAGACCAGGTGGTAACTGATTCTGCTAACTTTGTGTTGATAGAAGGCTTAGCAGCATTTGTCCCAGCATGTCACCAATTCTGACAGAGTATGTGGGAATACTTGCTGACTGCTACTAACATGTAAGTACCAGTGCAATAACAGAAACAAGCTCAAAATAATGAAGGTTAGTTGCCTTCTAAATAATTTCACATAATGATTTTACAGATATATTAATAGAAATGTTCAGACTGTTGACATAACTATTATTATTTGAATTTGGTTGAAGTTAATTTAATAATTATTATACTAATTTTAAAGTAGTTTAATAAGAATACAGAATAATTAGTAAATTAATTTTTCTATAGTAAAATATTTCATCGTGTCATCAATTAAACAAAAGAAAATTAGACATTATTCAGCAGCCTATGACTGACCTAGTTCCTGTTGGTAAACAAAAAAGTGCATGATGTATTATGTTCCTAAACTTTCAAATAAGTGTTTAAAATCTTCACTAATCCTACCATAAATGACAATTCTGCTTTGAAGGCATCTGCATTCCTGGTTTGTAATTTTTTCCATTTTCATAACAACCACAATTAGAAACACAGGTCATGGTTTCTTCATCAAAATATGGCTTATTCTTTGGACAGTGTGGATAGCAGCCTGCAATAAAAGAAATGAGACTTACATTGACACTAGACCTTTCAGAAGTAGAAGTAACTCTATACTTCACTTATATATGCTTTTCCCAAATTATTCCATATGGTAATGGAATTTCAGACTTTGCCACTGCTATTTCTTTCATTGCTTTGGAGTATTTTGTCCTCTTTTTCACTCCAAACAAGTTCATGATCCATTAGGCAGTTAGGTACTAATTATATCTCTTCTTATAATTTCTAATATAAACATGTCATATACTGAGTAAGGTAATTTTATTAATCAGATTGAATTTTAGCCTCTTATAGGCAGGACAAGATATGCATAATTATGTTACCTTCAAGGCCTCTCAACTCATGAAGGCAATTCCCACTTGGGTTATTGCAGGTTTTCATACAAGGGGCTCCACATGGCTTGTAGTGCCACTCACATTCCCCTTGTGGATTGTAGTAATCGCAGAACAAAGCTAGAGGAAGGAGAAATAACAGAAGAACTTTGATCTTTTTGTTCTACAGTCTGTCTGTTTTGCTGGGTAAAAATCCCATGTGATCAGCATAATCACATAGGTGGTGAACAGTATCTTGCCTTACTTCTAATTTAATACAATTGTTACACTTCAACCACCTTTTGACACCAGTAGTTACAAAGCATAGAACAGAGTTACACATTAATCCTGAAAAATCAATAGTTTGAATCATTGATATTAGCTAGTATGCACTAATAGTGATTTATGCTAAGCCTCATGTAGACAGGTGGAAGTGTAGTAGAATATTGTAGTTCACCAGTTGTGTATCATGATTGACAAGTAAATCAGACACTAGTGACACCACTGGTGAAGTTACTATCAATGGTTTCATTTTAAGAAAATAGATTAGCTTCCAGTGATTTACCAAATGTCCTTTGTGGAGTTTTTTTGCTGCTTTTTTAGAATATAGCAGCGCCTCTTACAAATAAAATCTTATCCTTCTTTCTTTATTTATTCTACTTGTATTTCTTTTTACTTCTCTGTTTTCTTTCCCTCTAGACCCCTTCAAAAAGTAGTGAGGTGAAACTCACGACAAATGGATGGGGTTCTCCATGAAATGCAGATGTCCAGCTCATTGCATGCTTGAGCATAGGCAGCTACTGCTGTACAGAAACATTCACAGTCTCCTCCAGTATCACAGGCACAAGCATCATCTACGCATGCTTCATAATATTCATTTGGTTCAACCTGTTGGAGAAAACATTTGAGTTTTCATGCACTTGTCCTCTTTGGAAAGGCATTCACTGCTCTAAAAAACGTGACTAAAATATCTGAAACTAATGACTCTGTATGTGTGAGAAAGATAGGAAAGGAAGAAACCATGAGACTGTTTTGGAAAATTAAGGGGAAAATAGAATAAAGCTATTACTTCGTAATGCTATACATCGTAATGAAAAGAGCTATTTGATGTTGAAGATACCTTTGCAGAAATAATACTGTTACATTACTACAAACTAGCACACAGTCATATATATCAGGTGGCTGGTATTTATGGTACTAGAAAATGATGCCATTTGAAAGTAAACATATTCTGAGATTTATCTGTGATTGTTCCTTCTATTAAAAAAAAAGTATCAATTTCTTTAGTGTACTAATTCAAGACAAGTTGTCAAGCATGATAGAATGTATTTTAATGTATTTCTCAGCTATCCCACATAAAAATTACTGTAAACTCTTGCTCAAGAGTATTTAAGGCTCAAGTTTTAGTCATACCTGTGAGTGACACTTTGCAAACACTTCACTGGTAATGATACTGCACTGCTTCTGTGCCCAGGCTTTCCTGTATGGGTTTGCAGTGCATGGGTCCTTGGTACGATTGGCATTTGGGCAACTAGAAGACACTTTCCAGCTGTTGGCAAATTCCAGCACATTTCCTACCACAGACTGACTGCGAGTTGTGAAGTCATTATTTCCATTGCCATCATAGTTTCCACAAAGTCCACAGACATGTCCCTGCACGGGGGTAAACAAAAATTATAAAGATCAGTAAGGTACAGTATCTGCAAGTAAAAGACCTCAGGATGAATCTTACTTAAGTTTATCTAGGCCCTTTCAGTAGCACTGTTGGACATTTTATTGAAATATCTTTCATGAAGAGATGTTTCTAACTTCTTGTTAGGAAGGATAAGAACAGGAAGCAGACTTATGGGTTTTGTTCTTAGCACTGAGGTAATTAGTTTCATCTAATCCTGAATATGCCTCTGCAGTGAAGGCTTTACATGAAGAAAGCTACTTTTGTAGTTGCTGTTATGCCATTGCTGAATAATGTAATTTAAGGAAGATGTGTAGTACACAATCTAAGTCAACACTACAGGACAGGGACAGTAATATGCAATTTCTGCTCTTTCAGTCTTCCTGTTACAGCCAAAATTTCCATTTTTTTTTTTTTCTTCAAGAGGTAACATGAATATGTTCCAGAAATACACTACAGGGACAGTAATATGCAATTTCTGCTCTTTCAGTCTTCCTGTTACAGCCAAAATTTCCATTTTTTTTTTTCTTCAAGAGATAACATGAATATGTTCCAGAAATAATTTTATCCAGGTTTTGGATTTTAAAATGTACCTCAAAGCTGGGACTAAGTTTGATGAATATACTGGTTTTTCTGTCCCACATGAGTATCAGACCAACAGTAGTGTCAACCACCAGGTAGATGCCCATGGAACGGATTTGGAATGGCATTTTTCCTCCAGGTGTCCTCTGGATAACATCAGAGTGTCCACCACTGAGTATCAGCTCATAGTTCTAAAACAGAAAAAGATAGAGCCTAATGAAAAAGTCACCTATTAGGTTATATATGTTTATATATTGCCAGTAACTGTTCTTGAAATAATAACTCTATTATCATCGAAATTCTTCTATTCAACAACCTCACATTAAGCAATCCTATAGAATTCCCTCCTTTACTGTCTCTAGCAGAAATCAGAATTGTTAGCAGTGAGCAAGGAAGTGTAGTAACATTTTCACTGTCTTGAAGGACACTTCTATGATGCAGTCTGTCTGGAACATTTTGTTCTATCCTTCTGGCTCATTGGGCCTGTTGTAACTTATTAAAGAAAATGCTTACCCCCAGGAAAACTTTAATGGACTTGGAGCAGGTGGTTCCAGTAGTACCGCATGGAATGTTCTCAGTGATGACTCTGAATGTTCCCTGATTCATACCTTGTTGACCACAATAGTTCTGAAACAGGAGAATTATATTCAGTGTTAACTATGCTATATGGTCGTACATAAAACACAAGGTACTTTGATAGTGCAAAAATCTGGGAAGGACTCTGTTACCTGGACCAGAACATATTCACAGTCTCCTTCAAAATCAAAGCGTTTGCCATCAAAGGTGGTGTAATGCCCATCTCCATAAACAGAACAGGTTTCCAGGCAAGGTTCCTCAGAGCAGTGCCATTTTCTGTTTCTACATGTGCTACATAAGACAGAAGGCACTCCAAATGTAAAAATCAGACATAGATAAAATATTGCTTTTATGTACATTCCTGCAAGTACATCAATCTCATTTTAAAATGTGTTGAGCCCATAATGAAAAAACAAGGTTTGCTCATTCTTAGAAATGAAGCACAGCTCAAGAGCCTTTGGAATTTATCCAAAAGCTGTGTTACTTCATGATGTCATGAATAATTTGGGTTAGAAAATACTATAAATATTGTTGCATGTATTGAAATGTAAAGATTGCCTGTGAGGAATAGAGCTTTCTTGACTTGAATGAATATGACAACATCCAAACCATACTGTTCTTCTGACCACTTGGAACTTACGTGCTGTGTGCCATTGTGAAAAACAGAGCTTGCTTTTTAGGTACCAAGTGGATCATCTTATGCAGGATTCCTTCTTGATATCAAGCAGATTTTGATACTGCTAGAGTGAAATGTTGTAATTCACCTACAGTTTAAACTATTCTCAGATGCTTAAAAAAATTATTTTTCAGTGTGCTCTTACCAGTTGTTACAGCCAACTCTGATTGATTCGCCTGGAGTGTAGGAATTCCCATTGTGAACACATGGACAGTCCTCTGGAGCTATACAGCCACCTTTGCCATCTAACACTTGATTATGAGGACATACACAGCCAGAGACACAGTGTGTTTTGTACTGTAAGGACCACATAGAAAACATGACTTGAAACATATCCTGTTAGAAGAGTCTCGCTGTAGCTGGTAATTGTAGAAGAAATCTAGTTTAATATGCTTTTAACCGTGTACAAAGAGTCCATACTTACACATTCCATATCTAATGTCTGACAGCTCTTCTGGCATCCTGCTCCTACCACATCTGCAGTGGCATTTCCACAGTCAATATAGACCATGGGAGGTATGCAGACTGAATAAGACAAAAACCATGAGAAATGTGAGACCAACCATGTATTTATATCTTCATAGTTCTTTAATGAGGACTGAAGAAAAAAAATAAAAAGGACTTCTTTGAGATACATGTATCTTAAAATAACGCATTTGACCAAAAGAGAAATTGAATATTGTTTTGAAGTCACGCCTATCTGGTTTTGTGCTTATGCTTGAACTACTCATAGAATTCAATGCTTAGTTTGTGAAACACTTGTTTTCAGAAAAGTAAATAAGTACCAACCAAAATAAACCCCCAAACAAAACAAAAACACAAGAAAACAAAGATGTTGGTTTACTTTGTATTTGGGGGGGAAGCTTTGTTTTATTTATTATTTTATTTTACTTTATCTTATTTAAAATATGGATGGGTTTCACGTTCAATAAGGTGATTGAGTATTCTTTTCCACTGGGTACCCAAGGGGTTAAACTTTTTTCATGCATCTAAAAGGTATTTTGGGAATATCCTCTACATTATAGAAGTCAACAGTTCATTTTCTTGATTGACTTCAGACTTGTACAGTTTGCATCATTATGACAAAAAAGAGAGAACTAGAAAGGGTGAAGGTGGAAAGGGAGAATTAAAAGAAGTCTTAAGTCATATGTTACCTGGTTCAGGTTTCTCACCAATACAGCTCAGCTTTCCATAGGTGCAAGTGCTATTAAAAAAAAAATAAAATAAAATGCATATATTTTTGCTTTTCCTTGTTAAGTTTTCACTTGTTTCCTAATGAATTTGAAATGAAAAATTACTGTGCGATAAAGCGGAGAAAATGTGTCCTTTATCAGAATAGTTTCTACTATTCAAAGATATTTTATATTAGAGAGGGCCAAAATACAAGTATATTCTATAGAAAGACAGGCCTGCTCTTTCCATTTGCTTTGGTAAGAGCTGTTCTTCAGAATAGTTCAGATTCCATTCATAATGGGAATAATCTGTAGGGAGATTCTCAAGCATCTTTCACCATGGAACAAGTCATTTACAGTCATGGATAAGAAATGTGTGGTGGGGAGTGAGTGAGTGACTGACTGACTGGGTAGGAGTTTGGCTGTTAGACAGGAATAACCCACCGCAGCATGTTTTGTTGATTTCCTGTAGCAGTCTTAGGTACAGTCTTCCAAACATGAATAGCCCTAGCAGTTTTTAAGGATCTGTGATTTTATTTTTTTAATTGAAACTTCTAGAGACAGAAATGCATTTGATTTGAATAGATAGCGTAATGTATAGTTTCATGACTGCCTATATCCAATCTCATTCTTTTGTTTAAAATCTCTTACCAGACAACACCATTGTCGTGAATAACTTCTCCAGTAGACAGAGGCATTCCTTTGTAGTAACAAGGACAGCTAGAAGTAGGCACACATTTGCCACTTTCATCCATGTAGGTTCCATTTATGCAGGTGCAGCCATCAACTGGGATAAACTTGATGTTGCATGTGACATCAGGCTCACTCAGAGACCGGCAGGTGGGTTGACAGGAATCAACATTGTAAGTGTACTCCAAGGATTTCGGACACAAGGTGGTGTATTTTGCTTGAGAGTAAAAAAGTGAGTTACATTTGTTGTTCATTTCAGAATCAGTGTAGGTATAAATGCAATATTTTAGGTAAAGTATATATGATAAACACGGCAATGTATCTACATGTGCTTTACTGATACCCTCAGAAGTGTAAATTTTTTTTGTTTTTTCGGCTAAAGCAGAATTTCCCCCTATAAATGTGTCACGAATACAAATATTTTGTCCAGGTCAAGAAAAGAAAAATCTCAATTATATTAATGCATACTGCATTTTTATTTCATTGCTATTTTTATATTTTTGTCAAAGTAAATTAAAAACACCCTACCTATGCCTATTGCAAGGCTATCGAGGTCCATGTTGCTTTTGCTGGTTCTAAGCAAGTAATGCAACAAAGCCTCTTTTTTATGTTGCTTACTGCTTGTCTTTTATCGTATTCCCTTCTTCCTTACATTCTTGAAAGTAAATGCTATACTGAAAACACAGTTTAACATAATTTATTGTGGGAATTCCTGAGAGCTGCTCTGTGGGACTTTCTGGATGACCATTTTCAAGAGGAAAGGAAAGCAGAACTTACTGCAGGCTTTGCTCCTCCATCCGGTGAGGAGAACTCCTTTAGCAGCACAGGCCCTCACATAGCTGGAAAGGGCAGCACACATGCAGTCCTCACTCTTCTCACAGTTACATGTGTCAAACATGCAGTTCTAGGGACAGAGGATGACATAGGATCATCAGATTGTCATATCAAAACCGTGGTCCTCTATACTTATTATACTGCCATGTTTGTTAGAGTTAAAAGTGAGTGTAAGTCATATACATAAGTAAACATATGCCTATTTTTCATTTGGAGATTTCACTGAGAACTTTAAAAAAAGATTCTTTGCAAGGAGAAAGTAACTAGAGGTCCACAAATTTAAACAGTTTTTTCTTTTTCTTCTTTTTTTTTTTTTTTAATTTTCCAGTTGATAGATTTCCCAATGTTGGGACTTAGGCTTGGGTGCTTGGGCTCTCTGCCTCAGAGGAATGAAGAAAACAATAAGTCATATAATGTGTTGCTGTACCAGGCAATGTCACTAAAATATTGTCATTCCAGAAGATGTTTCTTACATATAACCTTGCAGATTACTAATAACAGGGAGACTTTGTAAAGTTCCCAGACCGTTCCAGAGCTTCATCACCTTGAATTCCTTGTACATTTTTGTTCACATCTTATCTAAATCTTTTTGCTGCTTCTTGCATGTATTTCTTGCCTTGTCTTGGATATATGCAAAACTTTCTTAGAGCAGTTTGGAGCAACTAAGCAATATCCTAGTTAAGACTCTGAATGAAGCTTTCCTTATATCTCAGGACGGACAGCTTTTAACCTTTGACCTGGTAAGAAGTCCACGGAGTTCAAGGTCATAGATCAGGGATTTAAATTAGTACCTAAGGGCAGCATGAATACCCTTGTTAAGTTTATCCTCCTGGGAATGGAAGGAAAGATACCTTTACAAAGGAGGAATTATTATGATGTTTACATAAAAACAAACCCTTGGCTTGAAAAGAATTATCATGAATGAATCTCCTCCGAATTGGCAAGTCGTTCTTTCAGGGGTTAATATCAGGAATCTGAGTCTTTTTCTTTTAAATGGGGAAAAGTTAAAGGCCAAGTACCTTCTGGTAAACTTCTGGATTCACTGTTGAGTGACATTCAGCAAAAGGTCCCATGGTATCGGAGAGCAGTCCACACCAGTGCTGAGCATACTGGTCTGTGAATTGAAAACATGGTAAGAATTTCTGCTGCACTTCATTGTCCAAACTCTTGTCTCAGGGTAACTATACTTCCTGCAGGCAAATTGCAGAAGCTTAACTTTACAATAGAATTCAGCTCTGCATTTGCTGAGACACAAACAGACTTTCACTCCCTCTATACAGAAATATGAACTCTTTGTAGACTGAATGCTCTTAGTTCATGGTAGATGTCATGGAATAAACTAAGACATGGATAGCTGAATTTTGCAAAAGAGGTGCACATTGTGAATTAAAAATATGCTAATTCATCTCAGTAAACAGGAGAGTGGCTTGTGAATTCTCAAAAATTATGTATTTCGTTAGCTGAAACAGAGTCTGAGAGGTACAAAGCTCTGAACTGTAAGTCTGATTCTCAGTTTAACAGTGGAAGAATCATGCTGAGCCCAAACTTCACTAGGGATACATGCAGCTTTATTTCCTATATGACAATCAGTCCTTTCCAGGAATGGATCACTGATATGCTGTATGGTTCTGGTTTCTCTTAAGTTATCAAAAACACCTGCTTTCTTTATCCAAAGGAATATTTTTGAAGATCCAAAATATTATCCTAGTTATTAATTATTTATTAATCGAAAACTTCTAGTGTCAGTTGAGGAAAATAGTGTACATGTTAATGGTCCACTGTTATTTTGGCTAAGTGCTTGGTGGTTGATCAGCTTGCTCCTTCTTTCCATCTTAGAAGAGAATAGAGAAGGTTTCTTTATAGTGAGCTTACCATTTTGTATGCTGACAGCACATGGGTCCTCAAAGGTATTTTCGACATCAGGACAATTGGCCCGTGTTTTCCAAGTATTGCCAAAGACAGCTGAAGTACCTTCTATTACACCACTGGTGATTTTGAAATCATCTGTCTGCATGTCATTGAAGTTACCACAGAGACCTAAAAGGAAGCAGATGGGTTGTGAAAGTCTCCTACAGAATTAAGCATACTGATGAAGGCAATTGTTGCGATAAGATCACTTACCACAGGTCTGCCCTTTATGTGATGGGTCTAAGTCTATAAAAAGTTGCATGAGAGGCACGAGCTGAACCTGTAGCTGAAGACCAAAGGTTGTTTGCAGAATGATGAAGAAAGATGATGGTCTAAAGATGGTGACATTTGCTAGGGTCATAAGAACATAAGAGTTGTCATTTCATACGTGATGAACAGTTGAAATAACTATTCATTATGTAGAGATTCTATAGCTGTGTTTGATAGGATCCTAATATCTGAAGAAATGGGGGGAAAATTATCTATACAGAATTTCAAGTCCAGCACAAAACCAGGCTGTCTTTACCCTGAACAACAAACGTATTAAAACCCTCCACTTTCTGCTAGGTGTTTTAAAATAAGGGGAAGAACACACACTTTTGTAACTATTTAGAAGATTCCAACCATGGTTTGGTTTCTGTTCAGGTGAAGTAGTGTCTGAGGAGAACTGACATGGAAGGAACTCTCCAATGGTGAATGTGCACCAAATAAGGGGACAGAGGGAACACAGGGAACTAAACAACTTCAGCTGTTGGAGTTATTTTGCATATCAACATTTTCCTTCCTCTCCAATGGCAGTACTTGGATCTGGAAGTGTGCAGTGATACTATTTACTTGAATTGAATCTCTATTTTATCAGATATTGCTAAAATTAGTTGAAAATTTTGCTAAAATTTTGCTAAAAGAGTTGAGTAAGGAAACCCTATTACTGTAAAAAATGAGAGACTGTGCACTATTGGAGTACCTTGAGTTTGCTGCAGTGTAACCGAAGGTGAAAATTTGCTTTAGTTTAACTGATGTAATAATATTTTAAAATCAAAACCAAGAAACACTACAGAAGTCTTCCATAGGAACTTACCTGCAGAGAATGGCAGCTGTGTGTAGATCATGTTTACAAATACACTGCCAGAAGGCTGGATCACAATGTTCTGTCCACAAGAAAAGGCAATGGTTATCAAATATATTTAGGAAAGATAAAATATTTTCTATCTAGTGTTGTTCAGGATAAAGGAAAACAAAAACCAAAACAACAAACCAGTGGGGGAGACTGTGATGGTGTTCTGATTCCTATACTATTTCTCTGATGTCTATTACTGTGGTCCATTGACTGTCCAAATAATTAATCAAAAGCCCAAAGATAACTAAATGATAGAAAACTACTAGAATCTTGGGTTCCAGTGCATCTACTTTGTTCTTAAATTTTCTTTGAATAATGTACAAATGAGATAAAAATAAAAAACCTGTGCAGATTTCCTATCTGTGCTCTTATGTATAATTTGCAAACTACTTGTCTATTAAGCTTTGAAAACATCTCAGCAGAATGTTAGGTGTCTACATTTGCTACTTACAGTTTGTCCTCCACTTAGGCTAACAGTTACACCCTTTAGGCATGTCTCAGTGTCAGTCAGGCCACACTTGTAGATATCTCCCAGAACAGTGAATTCATTGCCATTACAGAGCTAGAAGAAGATAACAAAATACATTGTTAAAATGATTTCTTAAATTAAAATACTGTTATGTTAAGGAGGTTCGCTCTTAAATAGTATTCTTAGTAAAGTGAGTCTTCACTTTGTTATTTATATTCCATTTCTTCCTACTCATGTGTTCTTACATATATGTATACAGTCACCACATCACTATCCATTACTTCTGACATTCAAAGGCAAGTTGGACATATTAAGCTGAACATTAAAACTTGTTAATGTTTAGGTAATACTAGTTCAATATGCTAGAGAAGAAGGAAGCTGCCTTTCTTGCCCATTGGTTATGGTGTTTACCTGGGGGAGGAAAGAACTTGTTTCCAGTCCCATCTGCACCAAATAAATTATCAAAGAACCTGGTAATTTGGACATTATTTTAACAGTTAGGAAATATGAATTTAAATATCTTCTCATAGGAAAAAATTACACTAAAATCACTATTCACTAAGCTACCGAATAAGGGCAGAAATTCAAATTTTTTCTCACAGGTCTGATTTTCATAGGACTGTGACCTGCAAGCTATATTCAAAATGTGCCTAATGGCCAAGACATAACAGGGAAACATGCAGAAGGCTGTGATTCTGAACATGTCTTATCCCTTTTGTGGTGTAATGAAGATTAAATTGAGAAAAGCTGAGATGCAGAATTACAGCCATCTGGAAATCTAGTGTTAAAATAATGGGCTTCTTGACCTTTTGTGTCCAAATTTAGGATTTTTCTGTATCTCTACAGCCTCTGAGAATCTAATTTTACATGTTGGTGCCAAAAGGGGACTTTAATGTGTAAGCCTGTTCCATGCTTCCATTGTGGATCGAGCCCAGTGCTTTTGAATCTCATCATAAAGTTTCACTGCTTTTGTCTAATCTATTTCTAAATTACCTCATTCTAGATATTTTTTTTTAATTCTTTTTCTTGATAGCATTCAGTTTGATCTTTCTGAGAACAGATTTTATTTAATATGAAGTCTTTACGAAAATTGTTTACATCACTCATCCAATAAAAATAAATGGCAAATATACCTAGGGTTCTGAAATATGCAAACCTGTAGTCATTATTTTAGATATATCTATTCAGAATTCAGTTCCTACTAAACTAAAACCTCCAATAAATCTTTGGTATTTTTGTAAGTTATCAATTCCTAATTGAGGTTTTAGAATACATGTATGACTTCCTAGCATTTTTGCTTTTAAATGCTAGGGTCTTCTATGTTTGCTTGTAAAGACTGTTTGGAAGGTTGATCATCTTAATAAAATAGCTCTTCTTACATGAATTCTGTATAATAATTCCATTACAAATACCTTTAATAAAATAAGCCTTTGAACTATATTGACCGTGACAAAAAGGACAGTAGCAATGGACATAATAAATGCATTACTCAGAAGCAGTTATACACCAGACAGGAAATATTTAATTAAAAAATCAGTGGAAAGCATGGAGATTGTTTCATGGAACCTAAAAACTCTGCAGTTCTTAAATGGTGATTAAAGAATACAGAACTACTACTATATGTTTATTTAGTGATGTGATTGCCAGTTTTAATTAAAAAAAAAACATTATAGATAATAAAAACATTTTCCTTTAACATATTTCTGTAGCAAGGATTGTGACTAATTTTTACCTTGGTTAGGACATAACTACAGTCTCCGAAGAAGGAATAATATTTTTCATCAAATGTTGAGATATGGGAGCCTCCTTCAATACTGCAAGTTCCATGGCATGATTGGGTGACACAAGACCATTCACCTCCAGCACAGGTACTGAAATGAAGAAGGCATTCGGTAACCTTGTGTAATGCAAGTGTAAGTGAAATAAGAGATAATAACGACAACTGATGCTTTAATTTTCGTCTTGAAGAGTTGATCATATTGTGAAATAAACAGCATTACTTTGAAATCTCAGAATAAGTATGGGGCAGGCACAATTATATTAGTGATGATTTTTTTTTATATTGCTTCTCATTTCTAGTCTTTGTGCAGAATTCAGTCCTGGTGAACCTGGCATCCATTCTGCTGTGTATGAAAGATTGCCTGTCATCTCCATTAGCATGGCTCAAGCTTTAGACATGTTAAGTATTTCTTGAAACATAACATTCATGTTTGTGGTGCTTGTATTTGTAGATAGATAAATAAATGTACCTACACTTGAGCAATAATACTTCAGTAATTATAGTGATATTGAAAAAAACAGTATCTGTCAAACATGCCTCTCAAATATGATCTCCCATTCTGCCTAATGCAATATATCACTAAATGTCACAGCTTCCATAGTATTTCTATGAGCACCCTAGCATTACACTTTAGTGCTACAAAGGATGTAACACAATAATGCACATTTTAAAACACCTCCAATATTTGAATTTGATTGTTTCTTTTAATTGATTGGTCTTGAAATTGGAGTGCTTGTATCTAAACTCAAATATTTGCTTCCAAGTGTTGGAGAAAAGAGAGATGTAAATATCCTCTAAAAATGTGTAGTCATAAAATCTTAGAACAGCTAGGGTTGGAAAGGACCTTAAGATCATCTAATTCCAAGCCCCCTGCCATAAGCAGGGATGCCTCACAGTAGACCATGTTGCTCAAGGCTCCGTCCAGCCTGGCCTTGAACACTGCCAGGGATGGAGCATTTACCACTTCTTTGGGCAAACTGTTCCAGTGCCTCACCACCCTCACAGTAAAGAACTTCTTCAGCTGGTAAGTCATTCCTTATTTATTTTTAAAGGGAAATCAGTAATTTTTCCCTGTCTTCAAAAAGTTCAGGTAATGCATCTATAAAAAAGAAGTATGAGAAAGGGAGTATTGTTACCATGATCTGCATTTAGATGAGAAGGAGGCACCAGGAGCATAAGATTCACCTTCATAGGTACAATGACATTCTTTACGGGGAATGCAGCCAGCACCATTAATATCATCAAATACCATTCCTAGGGAAAGAAATGGTCTATTACGCATTCTGTGCATTTCAGAGCCTGTATCTGTCTGTATGCCTGAAAGCATACATTAAATGTCTTCTGTATTGCACAGAAAAATTAATAGAAAATACTTTAAAATAATAGGATGCAAACTATGCAGGGATTGAAGGGCTATATTCCATTGAAGCTTATCTTCAATCTTAGAGTGATCAAAAGAGATCTGTAGGGAAATACTTTTCTGTTATGGGCTTCATTAGAATGGAATTAGGATTAAAATTGCTAGATAATGAGGTGGAATATATAAACCATTTGTAAGATTGCCCAGGGACATATGTAACAGTACATATACTATTTCTACAGTAAATAGTTCTATACACAAAGGCAGAGGATTATCTAAGAGAAGTCAATGAAATTATACAAAAAAGGTGATGGTGGATTCTGCAAGACATTATGAAAGATGGGCAGAAGAGCTGCAAGAGGTGAAGATCCTACCATGGAGTCAATCACGACAGCAACAATTCTCAGTCCCAGAAGTAAATGTCACAAAGAGAACACATTTGTGTTGTTTGTCTTGTACTTCTACTCAGTTCTCTTGCGTAACAATTTGAGATGCCAGATTTTACGCACTGCCTAGTGCTCTCTCAGCTCCTTGTTTAGACATGCAGCGCTGGACAGAAAGTGTATGGTAATTTGGGAAACCAGACACAGCTTTTTTAATACCAGGAGTTATCACTGTAGGTAAAATGTGGTTACATATTATGTACTTTCTCTGAACTGAATGGGGTTCTGAGAATAGAAGACATACTTATTGTTAGAGATGAAGTATCTTATTCTCAGTTCAGTCATTATGTACATGTCTCAGGCATGTTTATCATTTAAAAGGGTAGTTTGAGTAATCTGAATAGAAATGGCACTTGTGTATCAAGAAGAAATGTAGTCATTAGTTTGATGATAGTAACAATGGTGATGCGATGAGAATGACAGAGTAGGAAAGTTGTTAAATGTGTACAGGTGTTACGGTGGTTCTGGTTATGAGAAAAGGGCAGGAAATAAGCTTGCCTGGAGGACAGATGCAGCCATCTGTACAGTGATCTTCACAAAGTGCAGATCGTTCCGGGTTGCTACATGTATCAGAGCAGGGGGACCCACACTCCTGGTATTGCATGTTGAAAGGACATGATTTGGCTGAAAGTAGAGAGAGTATTATAATGCCAACTGTTCCTTTGAAATGTTGAGAAAACAGTATTTGTAATTTGGGTTGTTTTCTGTCAAGATATAAAGGGGAATCCTGATCCAAGTGGAGGCCGCAACATTTCAGACTTTCTGATATATCTTGAAAACCATTAATAATGCAAAATCCTCTAAACTTCCCTATTCCTGAAGTCTTCAGATTAAAGCTGATTTAATGAAAATCGCATGCATTTTTAAATGGCTTCTTTGTGAAAAAAAAAACCACAAAGCCAATCCAAACAAACAAAACCAACACATCTTTGAAGGTTACTAGGTATGGGTAGTAAGCACAGGTTAAAGTCCCTTTCCAAGATACTTACGACATAGTTCTGAGGTTCTCCAGTTCAGAGGCTGTCCACCTGCATGAGCACATTGCCGGGAGTATTCAGCAAAGGTGTTGCACATGCAGAAGTCAGCCATAGAGCTATCACAGTGGCATAAGTCTTGTATGCAAGTTTCAATGTAGTCCTGAATGTTCACAAGTGCATTACAGCTTGTAAATGCTGTACTGGTTAATACTGTCTCACAGATAGAAGCCTAGGAGGGTAAATAAAGTAAAACAAGTGTTTAGAAAATAAAAAACTAATTGTTAAGGCATGTAGCAGAAAAAAACCAAATGTTCATCTGGTCCAAAACCTGTCCAACAATAGCTATAGGCAGATGTTTAGGGAAAAGTCTAATAATAGGGCAAGTACATGTAGAACTCCTTTGATTAACTCCTGTATCTTCCCGTATCTTGAATTACTTTCAGCTCAGATGGTTTCCCAAGCATTATACAGTTTCTTTATATTAAGAGATCCTCAATGAATTTCTCTTTCATGAAAACATCCAGTCTTCTCTAAAGGGTAATGAAACTTTTTAGAATTCATTTTAGCAAAGAATAAAAAATTAAATTTAGAAAAAATTTCCCTCTGGACCCGCTGTTGAGTCATTTTCATGTTATATTTTTTCCATTTCCTACAAATTTTCTCCAAAGACAGAGAGAATGTATTTTATACTGAGAAAATGATTTTTGAGAGAGGGGTTCTTACAAATTCAGCTGAGCAGTTCATTAGAACAGCAGAAGGAACAGGATCAGCACACTGTTCTATGGGTCCATCAATCTTCTGTCTATTCCCAAACTCTATGGGAGTCAGCCTTGTCTCTGTAAAAAGCAGTCCAAATATTACAATAATATTTCCTTTTTTTTACTAGCTTTTGCATGTAGATATATTCATTTGTGACACTACCAGCTGTGACATGAGTGATGATTACCAAGTAATATCACTGTAACATGAAAAGGCAAAAGGGGGTGAATAAGTTATACAAGGAACTGGATCTTAACTACTGAAAACACATAGAAAGTTGCATGCGGCAGGTGTTACAAGATTTAAGTGATGGAAGCGATCTAATACATCTCAAAGTCCTGACATCATTGAAGTACACAAAGAAGTATCACTAATTTTGCCATCAGTATGATCCACAACTATGTTACAGTATACTGTTGAAAGAAAGAAAACCAGAACACCAATACTTAATAATGCTTTTTATTACTTACCCTCTAAAATAAATTCATTGCTGACTGGAATTCCATTGAAGTCCCCACAGAGTCCACAAGTTTGATTGGCATATTTCTTATCTAGTTCCACCTGAAAGAAATGAGGAAAAAGCTTAAGTTCATAGCAATGTCAGTCTTGATTTTTAGGAACACAGCCTACATCAATATTGCTTATGTACTCAAAAGTTGGCATATGTATTCTGTGCAGACTTGTGTTGTGTGATTGTTGTGTTGTAACAAGGTAGGCACCACTGGAGAGGTCAGTGGCAGCCAAGAAAAGCTTGGTCTTATCCTAGCCCTGGGGCTGTGAACATCAGAAAGTTGCCAGGTCTGCGATCGGGAGTACTTCACTGTGATGTGGAAATGTTACCATTGGAGGTCTATTCACAGAATCAGCTCGGTTGGAAAAGACATTTACAATCAAGTCCAACCATTACCCCGGGACTGCCAAGTCTACCACTAAGCCATGTCACTAGGCATGACGTGAGTTGAGCTTGGTGGGACAAAAAAAAAAAAGGGGGTAACTGGGAGAAGACTGGAAGAAAGAGCAATACACTAAAAGTAGACACAAATCCCAAAGTAACTGCCTGCCTGGCTGATTAAGACTGCAAAGATGTAAATAGCCTATTTTCAAAATACAGGCCTTCTGCCAAATTTTGGATGTTCTCTTACCAGAAGGGCATCCTCTTCATTCCAAAGGAAGGTCAGTCCTATCTTGGCAGAAACTTTCAAATAGCTATTACTTCTCTCTATCAAGACTCCCATATGGCTGTAGGGCATCTGAACCCTGGGGAAAGATCACTGTAATTCAGCTGAGGTAGGGCCAGAATATCCATTGAATATCCACACTGATATCCTTTGTCATTCTCTTTGAGAAGCTTTGACATGCATAAGTGAGGAAATTAGAACAGTAACTAAATACAGACAACCCAAGTGAGTAGTGTTTTGTCTGTTTTCTATACAATTTCTTCTCATTGTGCAAATTAATCGGTCTTGCTTTTCTTGCTCCTTTGGTTATCTCTGTTAATGGTGTTTGGCTAGGTAAAATGTTGGCATATGTCTTTAGTTGTATTGTTCAGAAAACTGCAGGGAGGTTCTGTTTTGCAGTCAGTGTGATTCATGGTATTGCTATTTACTCCTTAAAGTCGGTGATAATAAAGGGATAGACTCTTTAGGCTTTCTGTGACATGAGTGCCATTCAAAGGTGTACCAAGATAACCTTTAGACTAGCTCACTGTACATAGCTGCTATCATACACAACTCACTGTGGGATATTTGCCCAAGTATTGACCCAGCCTCTTGGGCAAGTTTCACACCTTGCGCCAAAGTCAGTGCTACCGTTGTTACATAGCAAATTTCCAGAGAGGCTCATTTTAAATGAGCGCAGGTACAAGCTGCAGTTACTATTTAACTGCCTATTGTTCAGTGCAAGGATGAAAGCCATCAAAAATTCCTCTCAAGGATCCTGTTCTGGTAGAAATAATGTAAAGTAGAAACTAAAGAGTGTAAAAACCTAACACTTTGACTGAATACAATTTATAGACTCTATTGTAAACATACATTATTGTAACAGTGGGGCAGCGTCAGGGATATAGCTCATCTGAACAAACTGGACACAGGGATAATCTTCAGAAGTAGCAATTAGCTTAGTCAGGCACTCTTTTTTTTTGTTGATAATTCAGGGAAGACCTGAGCCCTTCAGCTGCTTCGGAAAAATGTGAGATCAGAGGAGGGAAAGGGGTGCTTGCTCAAAGAGCCCACTGGGAGCAAGAACAGTAATGGCAGTTTCAAGTTATGAACATACGGTTTGCCATCAAGAAGGACAGAGCTGCGGGTCAGTTCAATCACTGCTCCTTCCAGCTTCATGAGGACATGAGTGATCATGGTAGCATTTTCCACTGTTGTACGTCTAATCTGGATGTTGAAGTCCTCATAGGGAGATTTGCAGTTGGATGCAAAGATGTAATTGCAGACCCCAGGGAAGTAAAAGATGTCCCCATCAAAGGTCTTGAAGTGGAAGTTACCCCATGTGCTGCACACACGGCCATTGTGAGAAGGGTTGCCAGCTGTGGATTCAAAATAAACAGTAAGAATTTTCTGTAATTTGCTGCAGAAACCCTCCCTTTAGTTGCTTTTCCCCTCCTATTTCTTCCACTAGCCTCTGTTCAAAAGCCTATCTTTTATTTTCCTTCTTGTTGAACTCTTTGTATATCAATCTGTTATTTATTGTATATCAATCTGTTACTTTTTCAGTTCAGTATAGGGCCTAAGATCAGAAGAGACCTCCTGGGTCACTGTGCCCAGTGCTCTGGTTCTGCTGACAGCAATATTCTATAAATCCTTTCCTAAATATATGAAGTTCTAAAGTTTCACCATAAAACCAGTTTAAAGTTACTTTAAAACTATATGGTACTCCTACTAGGGAAGGCCACTCATAGCCACACCCTTTAAATGGCTGGAAGACTTTTGCCAGCATCTTCTAAAACATATTCCTGTCTCATGTATGCCTGGTTGTTCTGCTCTTAACCTCACTGCTCCTCCCACCACTCATTATAGGAGTCACTTAACTCTTTTCAGTACTTATTTCCTTACAAGCAGGATCTCCCATCTTCCTGATTATCCTCACAGTCCCCCTCTGCATCCTTCCAGATTTGAACTCACTCTGCTTCAACATGGCTAGTCAGAATTGTACACTATACCTTAAATTAGGTGTCTCACCAGTCTTTTGAACACTTTAATAGTTCCCTCTCTTTAATGGAAGTATGGTGTGTGATTTATCCAAGTATTATATTTGGATATATGTAATTTTTTAACAGCTGCATCATATTAACAAAATGTAGGCCTGGGTACTAGGGTCACATTTAGATTATCCTTGTTACCTGATAAAATGACTAATTTGCGTGTTCATTATTTATTCTATTATGCTGAAGGATCTTCTGCTATTATGCTGTTCTATTATGCTGAAGGATATTACATGATTTATTAATCTCTTCATTCACTCCATGATCACCTGTGTGAATATCTGAACCATGACAGATTGTTTAACTTACCCTTTAATCTCAGTGTGTTTTGAAATGGTGGAATGATTGTCACTTCTTGGGATTTTGAAGCTGGTGGAAAATCTAAGGGAGAAAAAATTGTTACGTTTAATCTTAATAGAAATACTAAAAAATTAATAGATATTACCTAGTCTCTTTAATGACTAACATTTCCTAGTACTAGCTACACTATAGGGGTAAGTTTCCACAAAGCTTTAATGATGGTATTTACATAGTGCTTTGTGTTCTGGCTTTCTGTATATTTCACTAACAACTACATGCCAAAGACAATGCTCTTTGGCTGTAGTACTTTCTTCCATCATTTGTCCAAGACTCACATCTGATGTTCTGGCCCTGAAGTTTTGAACTGAAAAGCAGAAATGTGATCCTTAAAGCACAGTGTTCAGCAATGCAGAAAAAGTGGAGCTAATGTCTATGTCTGAACCTTTGCTTCTCAGTACACATAGGAGCAGAAAGTTACTTAAGAATATTAGAAGCTGAGGATGAGAAATAGGAGCTGGTATTTTATGAAGCTTTTATCTTTCTTGTGCTGAGACATGTATGTTTGCATAACCAGTTCTAAGCAGCTTTTTTTTTTTAAAAACAGTTTAAATTCTGGGAAACTTTGATCATGTGTTTTTCATGCAAAGACTTCTATTGGTAGGATCCAACCCTAAATTTTCTGTGTCCAAATCCAATGTTATCTCTCTGGATCCAGCAATGAAAGGGATAAAATACTTAGAGAACCTGCAATGTGATTTTCTTAACATGAGAGTCTGAGGAATTGATGCAGATTCTCCCTTGAAAATATCAAAATCATAGAATTTGATGACTTCCAAACTGTAGATTGTACAACATCAGTTATTGGCTTCTGTATGTAGAACAAAAAGTAACACTAAGACAAATACATGCTTTAGAAAGACAATCTCATTTAATCTTGATGTAAGGATTTTAAGGGGCAGAGCAAGTATTACCTTCCTTGACAATCTGTTCCAATAATTAAATATACTCACTATTAAATAATTTTTGGTACACTTCCAATTTGGTTTTATCACTATTTTAATTGCCAGCTAGTGACCTCACAAATTACAGATTGCAGAGCAGTCTTAATCATTAATTGTTTCAGTCTGCCACCGTTAATACACCAGTTAGCATTGTATACTTCCACCCTTATTTTGCTGTGTATGGTTATGGTGTTTGCTCTGTACAGTTATGTGTCATGCATGACTTTGTAGTGCTGAATTATTCTAATGCTTATGGTAGTTGCAGTTTTCTTATTCTCTCATGAGTAATGCAGTCATGTTGACAGAGCATAAAAAAAAAAAAAGTATCTTTTTTACCTACTATCTAAGTACGTTGGTGATATGTATGTATGCACACACCTTTTCTGAAAATACACTTTTAGATATAAGGTATGTACTTTTCATTAAGTTAAAGATTAGATAGCTGTATCATATCAGTAGCCTAGATCCACTGGGCCGTATCTCAGAGGAAGTTCTCCAGTTTAGAGCAGTCAGAGATTGGGTATGTTGTGCAGAGAATTCCTCTCCCCCCTCCTTTTTTTATTGGAGGGGGTTGGGGCAGGGGGAAAAAGGGAAAGTATGTTCTAGCTAGGAATAAGAAGATTCTAGTAATCTTACTATTTCTCAATTTCATCTGAGACAAAATTTTAGAAGTAGATCAGCATGAAAGTACTTACTTTTTTGTCGCTGCAGGATCAATGGAGAAGCATAGTTTGATTTTGTTTGTTGCTCATCATCCTGGGCTTGAACTACATCAAGAGTGTAGGAGGAAAATGTTAGTGTACAATTTTCTTGAGTTCCCTCATCATTTCTCAATTATATCTGTTTAAACATGTAACAGTCAGTATCTCAAAAATTGTCAAAGTTATCTTAATGTACAGGAAGTCAGATTTGCATTAGGACCTGTCACAATGCCCCTGGATGCCTCCTAAGCTTTTCAGAAAAAGGGCTTCATTTTCTCATTTTTTATGATCACTGTGTGCTTTAAGAATCAGTAAACCCCTTAGTCTAGCCAGACGGCTTTAAAAATAGGTCTCTTTTGTACAGAAAGCATTCATTTTAGAGTTACAGGACTAATCTCTGTCCTCTCTTGCTGAAAGCCAGTTACTCTGTATTTTACACTTTCAGGCACTTTTTGTAACAAGCAGCAGTAGGAAAATTAATGTAAAAACCACACAGAAAAAAAAAGTAAATCTTTCCAGTAGATACATTTGTGACTTTTGATTTTCATTTCACTGGGATGGAATGAAAAATATGTGTATTCCTATCAGAATAGGAATACATACAAAATCTGCAGGGGACAGAGGGGCTTTTAATGCACTGCTTAGTTCATCAGAGGGTGATGCAGGGGAGGCAGTGCTGGCTGGAGAAAACCAACAAGGCAGGTTCACCCTCTGCTGCATCCTACAAGGGCAGTCCGTGGGGAGCACCGCTAGAGGAGCTAATGCTGAAATCAGACCTGCAGAGAGCTCCTTAAGTCCCTTCCTTTTTGCACCACCTGTGGCTCTGCAGCTGGTGTTAGAAGGACACATTGTGCCCGTTCTTAAGCTATGAACTATTCAGTGCTGGGTTTCTCTTGTCCACTGCCTAGCCTCAGAGAACTTTTTGCTTCTCTCTCCACACACTGTATGGTACCAACACTGCCTCACGCCACATTCTTTTCAGATACCCGTTTCCATTGCATGGTGTTGTAATGCTACAGCTAGTCTTTTGATGGGCTATTCTTTCACACTACCACTTTTTGACATAAGTTAGTGTGGAACTACCTGAAAGTAGGAAAAACGTAAAATAATACAATAGGATCTGTGTCTGATATCAAAATGCACTAAAACCTAACACTCTTGCCTTAAACTTTAAGGGAAACTAACAGGTGAAATATATGTAAAAAGATTTCCACTCATCTGTGAGTATTAATGCCCTCTTAGAATATTTAAGGCAACTCCATTTGTTTTCACCCAATCAAAAACCAACCCTGTGCTCTAAGCTTTTATGCAACCTCATGTGTACAAATAAATGAACTTTTAAAATCTGTTGTCCAGTGCTTTTCAAGCAAAATCACTCTTTTTTTTTTGATACTGTATCATCAGCTAATAAACAAACAAAATTTATAATAATGCATGCAGACAGACTCCATGGATTTCTTGCCTCCTAGAACTGTTTTTGCACCTTTTGGTTTGTGCATTTAGAAATGCTGTACCACCTTGAAGTGAACATCAAAAGCTAAATGCAAATCTTGATGAATTTTGGTGGGCGTTTAAGTTCTGAGTGAGTTACACTGAACTGAGTGGAGCTATTAATGATTTGAACTGGAGAAAATAGGATGAGAACATTGACTACAATATAAGCTTTCAAGACAGTTATTTTCCTCTTTAGGATAGAAAGTATTTGTTATAGAAAAGAAAACCTTGCATAAAGCTAACAGGTTCATTAGCTTCACAAAGCCCAGAAAAAAATGTTTCAAACTCCAAAGCAGGTTATAAATTCTTTAAAACAGTAAAAATGCCAAGCAAGTGAATCTTCCTACCTTTTATCTGTATGAAGGCAAGTGCTACTATTGATATCCATAGCGGTATTCGTGTCCCACCACCTGTACCCATCTTCTGGAAGTCCGGTAGAAACTACCAAACAACCTGCCTCTGAGGAATTACCTGTCTGTTCCCGAGCCTTATATAGCGAGAGTAGGTTTTGGCTCAGTTCCCAGATTGTTTCACAAGGTTCTTAAAAGGTGGGGCTTCAGACATTTTAGTTTTCCTTTGCAGGTGCAGGGGTAAATAGAGGATGCTCTGACATTCCCTCAATATTTGCACTCTAGGAGGAGTCTTCTTTTGCAGGTCTTTTTGATGAAGTGTCAAGATGTGAGAAGGAAGAATTTTTGCTCAGACTTAGTCTTCCGAAACTCTTATATATTATGGGATAAATAAAATTGAAGGGATTTTTAAGTGACTTTTGAGCATGAACTTACGGTAAATGATGGCAATTTTACTTCTTAAAAAAAATCCAAGGAATTTCCATCTGACTAATTGTTTTCAATGAGTTTTGCACCTGTCTATGTCGCTACTATGCCTGTGAAAATGGAGAAATCAAACACTGTCTAAGGTCAGCATTGGTCCACAGGCCAAGCACTACACAGAGCTATGCAGTGAAAATCCTTCAGCATTGATATGGACCTTTCCTTGTATTTGTCTTCTCATATGGGCAGTTTTAGTGGTACTTCAGCTGTTTCCTGGTGTTATTTCATCATAAAAAAAAATAGATTCATTCTATATACAATGAAAAAAAGATATTTTCTTGGTCATTGCTGTCTCTTGAGACACAAGAAGACTGATTTGCAGGAATGTCCTTTGGAATGTTCCATATCTTAGGAACAGTTAGTGAACAAATGTTTTATGAATATGGTAATACATTTATTTACAGCTATATTACCTTAGTGAATTAACCTTTTATAGTATGTTACCCTGGGCTGCAGAGAAACACTGTCTTTCAGTGGGAGGACAGATCCCACAATCCTCCATGGGATCAAAGAGTTCCTGTAAGGATGGCCTCCATATTCTCTGGCAAGAGGACGAGACAAAATTAGGTTTAAAATGGGAATGAAGTGTAGGTTAGTGGGAGAAAATTTCTTTTTGCAAGGATGGTGAAGTATTCATATAGGTTGCCCAAGAAGGTTGTCCATCTTAAGAATAGGTTACGAAAACTACCCAAGAATTGTGTAAGTGCTGTTGATAGTACCCTGGGGCAGGGGGACAGACAGACTAAATGGTCATTTGGGATTCCTTTTCTGAAAAATAGTATGTATTCTCTCCATTGTAGTAGTTCTATTTGAGGAAGTAACTTCAGTATTGAGAGAAATAAAAGGCATATTTTTCCCCTAAGCAGTAAACAGAAACAAGAAAAGATGTTCTATTTCCTGAACATTTTTAAAGTAGAATTGGTTATTAAAATTTAAATTAAATTGATATAACTAAATAAAATTGGAAGGGTTGAGGAAGAGAACTGGTCAATTTCAGTCATGAGTTATACTTCTGGCAACTTTATTGACATATAAGTCTGTAGAATTTAACTTACTATTATTTAATGTTGAAAACTCAGCTGGGTAACACACTTAAGCTTATTAAGTGATTCTGTGGCAAGAAGAAAAATATGCTTTATGAATCATTACATTGCTTACCACTGAAAAATCAATTCATATCAACAGTTGTTATGCTGTGGTTTTATATACGCAGGTTAACATTTCCTGCATGTTCAGAGAAGTACTGTGACCTCTCAAAGATCCCATTTTGGTCACTAGTGATGATTCCCTTTCTGTGGCCATCACAAATTAGGCTGAAACTGGTTTACAATTGAATTTAACTCCTTTGACTGAGCTTTAAGGCACCATCAGAAGTGACTCCCCATATCTGCATTTTTGGCTGAAAATCTCAAATCTCTCATGTGTTGTGGATCTCATTATCCTTACACTCAATCAGGAGTTTGATTACTTCATTAATTAATCCTCTTGCTGTGTTAACTTCCATTATTGTGTGCTGATTCTTTCCAGAAATTATTACAAAATGTGTCAAAATACGAGACTTGCAAAACTGCTTTCCACATATTTATGATAAATCAATTTAGTAGTATTGCTAATTGTTCAAAGAAGTAATTCCTCTTCAAATTGTGTTTCACCCTGATTCATTCAATAGACCTACATGATTGACTTGGGAGAGTATTTTTTGAAGACTAAAGTAACATGTCTATATTTCTGTAATTGTTTATGATTAAACCAGTGTACAGTCAACTGCATAAGCAAAACTGTCAATATATTTGAACAGTTTATTGATATATGCATTTTATTTATGTTAACTGAAAATATAAATTATTCTGACATTGCATTTGATTTGAAAACCCTGACCCTTCTTTCTATAGCTTCTCTTTTTTTTTTTTTTTTTTTATGGGATGGTATTCCTTCTATCTGTGTCTGCAATATTAAATTGATTGAAATATCTTAGTAAAAAATTGTTACCATTTTCAGATCCATTCTTTTTAATCTTACGTGGTCTCTCCATGGTGATTATATCATTTATGCAGCTCACTCACAATTTCTGAAACTGGATCTTTGTAATAGAAAATGGACCATCATATCTTCATACATCCTCTATGTAGAATCAAATAAAATATCATAGAAAATCTGGTTAACTTTCAGGTGCAGTAATTATTGAAATCAGTGTCTCCATTTATATTGCTGAGAGACAAAATGATGGACTCATAGAGACACACAGAAGGTGTCTAGTCCACCTACTGCTGTACTGGAGTAGCTTCATCTCGAGGGAAGGGCAAAAACTTGTGTAATTGATAGAAACTATGTCACTTACTCTTTCCCAGTGCTAAAATGCAAGTTAACAGGGATCTGTTTGCTGGGCTTTTCTTTGGTTGGTCATTTGCCCAATTCTGAAGCCAAGTTTAAGCTCTGGAACTGGTGCTGGGACATTAGGCTTTGCATTTATCTGCTGTACCATTCTGATAGGCCTTAATTTTTGATCTGTGCACACTCAAACCCATGGTCCTTATCTGGAAGTTTCTAGTGAGGAGAATTCTAGTGAAAAATGAGGCAACTGATCATTGTTTACTCAGAAGTTGATTAACTTATTATAGGTGTTCTCTTAATTACGTGAAGATGAACTGCTTTTCAAAGAGTCGAAATAGGTATCTATAAATACCTATATTATATATATATGGTGTATGGTACAATATAGTCTATGTAAAGCAAAGCTATGTTTAAAGACTAAAATAAGAATAAAACTCCTTTATTAGTCAAACATGGTACTATTGTTCCATTCGTTTACTTCAAAATGCTTGGATAAAACTAATTGAAAATCAAATCACATTAATACCCAAGATTTGAAACCCTCTTTTATCACCATGAGTAGTTCTCCTGCTGTCTTTTACATTGTACATTGTAGAGGACTGAGCTTTGATGTCCATTGCAGCCTCTGTGATTTATTGTAAAATGGGTAATATGTAATATGATTAGAATTCATTTCTGGTTTTATTTCCATTATCTGTTAATTCCAAAGGTTGCAGTGTCATTTAGAAGAATCCAGCAAAGCATAACTAGTTAAATCAGGCATTAGAAGCTGTCTAGCTAAAGCATAAGAAGCTCGTTTATACCAGTATGATCAGAAAGTAAAATATATTGTGCATAACATCTCTGATTTTATTCAACTGTTTTAGTTTGGGAAGCAATTAAGTCACAGGACATCTTTGAGTCCTGTGCTGAGACCTCATTTTATAAATATTGCATGTCAAATATACCCATGCTCTTACATTAACCAAGTTCCTTTTCCTGGGAAAGATCTGAAATGTCATGACTGGTGTAGACTGTGTCAAGTGGACAATAGAATTAGTATTATCACAATAACGTGAGATTACCACAAGTTCTCAGAATAACCCTCCACTGTTATGAGAGGTTTTCCCTGTAAAAAAACATTCAGACATTGAACAGTGTTGTTTTAGCCCATACCTTCCTTCATACCTTTTCTTTCACTCCAGTGCCAAATTTCAGGATGTTTTTGCATAAGGAATCCCAGGATTTTTGTTTATGAAATAACCCTTCTCCTGACTGGCTGCTTCTGCCGTCTGTATCATTAGTTTCTTTGCTTCAGATTTACCTGCAGTCAATGTTGCTTTGCATTCTTCTCTTCCTCTCCTTCCTTCAGTGTCATTTGTCTTCTTCCTGACATACCCAGTTGAAGACAGCTCAGGATCTGTTGGTTTGGGTTTTTTTTCAGAGTATTTGGCATTACATCCAATGCTATATATATAGAATATGACTCTCATTGGTTTTGGCAGTAACTGAATGCTCAGCACTTCTGCAGATTCAGTCTCAGTGTTTCAAGCTGATTGTCCAGAAAATGAAGAATGCACAGTTAAAAACCGTGATTATAATTTGATATAAATCTTTTAACTGGCATCACAAATGAACTTCATGGCACCTAAGCAGCTTGATGATACTGTCCTTGCTCTTTTAAACATCTCCTTCATTCGGTCACTTCAAATTTAAGTTCTGCAACAAACAAATACACAAACCAAGAAATCTTACAGACAATTTTACCAGAAAGAGATGTGCAATAATCAGAGTAAGAAATGGTTCTGCAGAAAAAATAGTGTGTATCCTTTACCATAAAGAGGATGAACATGGGATCTAGAGAAAGGTTTCTGTTTTGTCTGAACATGTCCAGGATATATTTGTGTATAAAGGGGATAAACACTTAAGCCTCTTTCTTTATAGCTTGTAAACACAGACACCACAACTGTGCATACTAATATTTGCAAATGGTATTATAGACTAAAAAACCTGATGTGCACACACATAGTTGAGGACATATTTACATTGTGCAGTGGTGTATGTTGCAGAGATCCTTCTGCTAGCAACAGCCAAGGTAAATTTATACTAGGAAATAGTGTTACTACATTGATACGAAGTTGCACCTGAGAGAATTTGCCTTTATCTGAAGCACTGACACTGCAACATTGTGTTTGGGATCTGACCTGATAATCCCTCCCCCGGCCTCTATTGTGCTGTATGGTCATTGCAGCATTGGCTAAAGCAACCTGAAAGCTGGACTCTCTTTTGTAGTTCTATAGTGCCCCAAAATCAAAAGCT